AGCCAGCAGTCATGTTACTCCAACCTCTGTCTCTGGTCTTCCTGCCTCCCTCTTACAAGGATGCTTGTGATTATGCTGAGCCTGCCCTGGATGATCCAGGATAATCTATCTCAAAATCCTTACCTAATCACACCTGCCAAGTTCTCTTTGCCGTGTAAAGGAACATATGCACAGGCTGTGGGTATTAGGATATAGACAGTCTGCCTCCCAGAGGACTCCTGTTTAAAAATGTCAATATCCTAGCACACAAAGACCAGAGAGTAAGAGGCTGGAGAGCTAGGACAACGAAAACCCCATCTGATCTTGGACTAGATCCTCTTCCAGAGGGGAGAAATGCTATAAAGGATATTCGTTATCGTATCAACTGACAAAAGTGGGACTTGGGTGGTTAATTAGATGGAAGTATCAACATAAATTCATGAAGCTGGTAAATGTACTGAGGTTCTGTAAGAGCATATCCCTACTCTTCAGAAAGGCATACTGGAATAGTCGGGAATTAAGGGCCATGATTTAAGCCACTTGCTCTCAAATGGTTCAGAAAACATTATGTGTACACCAACACCCAAAGAAAGAACAAGAGAAATGAGGAAACAAATGGGGCAAAACATTAACAAGAAGTGTATCTGAAACAAGAGCACAACGTATTCCTTGCACTATTTGAATTTTTGCAATTTTTTCTAAGTTTGAAATTATTTCCAAGTAAAAAGCTTTAAAAACAAAATCATCTATGCAACCTGTCACTTAGTCCCAAACTTCTGAGTTGACACGTTTGAATGTCTGTAAGGATGGGTGAACTCAGTATCTTAGGCGGTAGCTTGTCCACTGGCTGGTCAGTTCACTACAAAATGAATTCTTAGGGTCGCCTGGTGGCTCAGTCAGTTAAGCACCCGAGTCTTGATCACAGGTCAAATCTTGATCTCAGGGTTGTGGGTTCAAGCCCCGCACTGGGCTCCACGTTGGGCGTGGAGTCTACTTAAACAAACAAACATGAACTGAATCTGTTGGTGACTTTGCCCCATTGGCTGTAGCCCTGCCGTGTGGTGAAAAACAGACTAGGTCTTCTCCCTCTTCAAATATGAGGCCAGCTCTCCTATCTCCTCAGTAATGTGTTTTGCAGGCTTAGAGTTTCTTGTCAGTGGATACTTCTGAGTCAGTTTTTAAACCTCCTCACTGGGATGCATTTTCTTTTGTCAGAGTTGCTCTTAATGCAGCGTCTGTGAGAACACAGCACTCCAGCTGGGCCCATCCACTTAGTTTGATTTGTTTCTTCCTCCTCTTCCAACCACACTCATCCTAGGTTACCACAACCTCTGCAGGGAAAAGTCACGCTCATGATATACATTGATTTTATGACTAAATCAATGCACATGAGTGGTTTTGGTGCAGCCCCAGTGGGGCTCTGAGGATCAGTGTTACCACAGTTACCTGGTAAAACAAAAGGAAACCCTCAAGTGAGCGTCTTTGCTGCTGCCATGGAATCCACTCTGAAGCAGTCGCCTTTGCACTTTTCCCTTCCCAGCAGGGCAGAGGCTGGGCTTCTTGGCTGTGGCTGGTAAACTGTGCAATTGGGAGAGTTTAATTTTAATTAGCGAATTGGCTGCAGTGAATCCCTAGCACCCAGGGTCTCGGAGCCTCAGAGGTAGGACTAATGGACATGCTGCAGTGGAGGTTTTGGAATCTTCCCAAAAAGGTAGCTAGGAGACTCACCTGGGGTTACAGCTCGCATCTGACGGCAAAGGACCAACTCTGGGACTGAGTTCCTAGGTTCTGGTGTTGCTCAGAAGTCAGTGCAAGAGAACTTGGGAGTAGTCTTTGCGGGGAACACTCTAACGACTATAGGTAGTTTCAGGATTGATGAGGCAGGCTCACCTTCACCACATTCTTGGGGGGGTGGGTCCGCAAGGAGGGTCACTTTTGCCACATTCTTTTGAGAGGTCAATGCTAATTGCCCTCCAAGCATCATTTCCCCAGATCATGTGAGAGAATCTTTCCTAAGTGCATTAATCCTTTAGCAGGGACCCCACTCCTAGCAGTGCCTCTAGCAGATGTTAGAAGTCCAAGCTTTTAGAGTGAACTCACCAGCCATAAAAATGTCAGGTCACTAAGCAGCTGTTGCTTTTCAGGGTCAAATATCTCACATTCAAGGCAGTAGGAGAGCTCTGTTTTCTGCAAAAGGCATTTTAGGAGAATTCTTAATAATGAAGCCTTTATTATGGTGGAGGTTTAAGGGGAGAAAGGGAGGGAAAAAGGACAGGCTCTTCTTGGGAGCCTTCCGATGACAGTCACCTTGCAGAAACCATCTTAAACTGGAAATCCTAAAGGCTTATAAACTGAACTGCCTAAGCATGATCAGTTTACTAGTGATTTTCTGACCACCCCCATCTCCACTCCCCTGCTTCAAAAGTAAAGAGTTAAGGACTATAGGATGAATATAGTCCTTTGCATTCGAGTCATTTATAGAACGGATGGCAAGATCCTTTCCATCTAAAAGTCAATCAGGGGGTTTTGGAGACAGGGCTGAAGTCTAAAAGGCTAGTGGACTGAATGGAGGTCCAAAGAAGTCTAAGAGCTTTTTACACAGGATGATACACACGGATGTGGATGAAGTCAAAGGGCAGGATAAGTCATCAAAGGGAGTTTAGCTAAGGATGGGGTATGTAAAAGGGAGTAGGGCAATGTGACCTGATTTGGTAGGCAAGTGTCATGGTCATCCATACATGGGCTTTTCTCTTTTTAAGCAGCTGGTAGAGACACTTTCTTCCCTCCCCTGTGCCTGTCTTCCTGAGTCGTTGCTCAGCACCACAATCACCTCCTCTCTGGGCACCCCTTCCCATTCCAGGAGAGTCAGGGTGGTTCTCAAATCTGATGGGACTCAGGAAAGTTCCTCTACACTGGAAGTGGAGGTAGGGAATGGGGTGAGGACTCTAACAAGAGATGCTCACCGTCTCACGGGGGACTGCAGATTCCTTTGCCATAGTCATGTCCCCAATGACCATAATGGGTATAAATGAAATGGGAGAAGGTACCAAAGATCAATACAGAACTGTTTCTTCTTCCTTTCAGTAAGAGAATCTGTACGCACAGAAGCATAAAAAACAAATACTTTATGTAAATGACATGAGAAACTTATACTTGGGAACCTCTCTTTTTCCCATGGCAGGAGGTGAGGGGTGGGAAACATATCAAGGTTTGATAAAAAGAAGGATCTCCTTTGTCAAAAATCCCAGTGTGCAATCCTGTGTTCATGTTGTTTGACACCATGGAAACATCGTTGATTGCAGTAGACAAAAGCATGTCAGGGAAAAGACCAAAGGTTAGATCTGAGGTTTTCCCCCCAAGACCAGTGAAAAATAATTCTGATTGGTCTTTGCTATGGAAAATATGAAAATCCTTATAAACAGGAAACTGCTTCCTCTAAGGGTTCCAAACTTTCTCCTGGATAAAGAAGTGTAGATTTTTTAAGCCATCTCTTAATTGTAGACTCACGAGGTTTTTAGATTTCAGTAGAGTTCGTATTAATAGGGGCACAGAGATATAGAGGCAAACCAATATATACACCAGTTTGAGAAAATGGGCACATAGCCCAACATAGTGATGGTCTATAAATGACTCGAATGCAAAAAAGCCTTAGAACCCTGACTTTAGTTACACATAGTCTAATGGTTCTTTAAGTTAGTGTTTTTGAAACTGAATAGTATCCAGCAGCGATTAAACCTTGGGAGGTTTTTTTTTTAAGATTTTTATTTATCCATTCATGAGAGACACAGAGAGAGAGGCAGAGACACAGGCAGAGAAGCAGGCTCCATGCAAGGAGCCCGATGTGGGACTCGATCCCGGAACCCCAGAATCACCCTCCCCCTGAGCCGAAGGCAAATGCTCAACCGGTGAGTCACCCAGGCGTCCCAACCTTGGGAGTTCTTATTTTAGATTTATTACTTGGTAGGAAACAGCTGATGTTATTTAAAAAAAAAAAAAGTCAGAAAACTCTTTCTGAACTTCTCTTTTGAATAACTGTGTCTAAACTGGTTTAATAAAGATTATCCTTTTGCCTCACATAAACCCATGTTACAGAAAAAGCACAAAGTCCTGGAGGGTTCAAATAGCTTCATCCCTTTAACAGAAGCACATGTTCCCTCAGCAATGATCTTTTAGGGGAAATGGAAGACATAAAGGGAAATATAATGATCTGAAAGTTTCATATTTTTTTCTACTTCTGTCAATACTCTGTGAGCAACTGAGGGTCTCAGTGGTCTTTGTACCTAGGTCCACACTCATGTACAAATTGGTAATTGTATGTTCAGTTTATGGGATGGGATAAGAAAGTTGTCTAACACACAGAAGGTTCTCTCTCATTTCAATGCCCAGTGTAAGACAAAAGTAGTAGTCTTTAGATGCCAAGCAGCTTCCACTGACTAGATGAAATAAAAGGTGACTGGCAATTTTAAGACCAACAGGAGTCCATTTCAAAGATCAGAAGTGTTTAGGTCCTCTATTAACCATGAGGACAATTTGTTTTCAGCTTGACTTCAAATTGGGTTGAAGATAGCCAGGCAGCCAGAGCACTATAAGGCCAAGAGAAAGCCCCAATTTTCATAGGATATAATACACATTCCTTGTTCTGTACAGGTGACACTTCTCATGCTGACCTACATCATACATTAATTTTTAAAAGGGAAATGCTTTAAAATGAAAGACTTTGATTCTAGAGACATTCTTTTCTATACCACCAGTTGAATAATTTTACCAGTAGCGCTACTGAGAAACTGTGTAACTCTCTGGAGTCATACAAAGAGGTTATAGAAATGTTACAAAAAGAGGTTGCATATATAGTAATCTGTGAACATATTGAACTCTACCATAGAAAACTCTATCCTTCTAGGTCCAGTATGTACAAGCTAAAAAATATGCATTTTTGACTTAGTAAACAATTTGCAATATCTAAATAGTGCAAAGTACAAAAAAGTTTGATAACGTTGTTTTAATAACTCATAGAAAGCATATACACCCAATGAATTCATCTCTTTATTGCATATTGCTTTTTTTAAAAAAAGATGTACAATCTCATAACACATACAACTTTTTTTTTCTTGGTACTATTACAACAGTCTTGCACCTAAAGACTAACTGGTTCCAACTACTAAGCTAGTAAGATACAAGACATATAATTAAGTTTACAAATTATAATGCTTTCTTTTTGGCATTAATTTAAAAAAACAAACAAAAAACTTTAAAATACACACCCAAGAGAGAAAAGTGGCTACTTACACCAGCACCAATCTAAAAAGTAGATTTTTCTTTTTTCAACAATGGCACATGGAATTACCTGCACAAAGCTTTTGGGGAAAAGAAACCAAAAATGGAAATGGTAAAGGCCTACCAGGATGGCCGTATCAAAATGAGAAGGATTACAAGGGCAAGAGGGACATGCTACACGAACTTGCTCCTTTATGTGACACTCCACCCACTTGTCCATTCCTTAAACCGTTAAAACAAAGCGATTTTCAAAATACAGTTCCAAAACTGAGCCAGACCAAATTTCTCCTGCTATAAATAGAAAAAAAGATAGAGGCACTTTTGTTAAGGAATAGACACATCCATCAGCATCTCCCATTCCTCATCTCCAAGCCTTTTTGAGCAAAGTCTTTGCACCTTTAACTGGGTGTATTGGCAGACCTTGGTAACTAGGGGCTGGGGGCACAACCTCTGCTGGGAGTTTATGACCATTTTATTTGCTAGAGTCATTTACTTCCATAAAATGGGTAGAAAGTCTCTAAGTTTGCAATGATGGGGGGGGGGAATGTAAAACCACTGCTCTTGACAACTCTTAGAGCACTATTTCACAGCTTTAACATAGTGCAGAGACCTTGCCATCTGCACTAAGCATTACAGTTTATACAAATCATTTTTAAATAGCATGATTCCTGTACAGCGCATATCGGTATTCTATTCACCCCTTTATCCCCACTAGAACATAAGCTCCGTGGGGGTAGGGACTTTGTCTTGCTTATCACTGTAGCCCTACTAAGCCTGGCACATAGTAGGTGTTTAATAAATATTTGTTAATTGACTGAAAAACTCAATTTAGTGAGTAAATAATGTTCTAGTGCAACAGGACAAACTACTCTCTCCACAGGAAACCCAACCACAACAGGATTGATAGAAAAAAAAAAAAAAAAGAGAGAGAATCTTAGCCCCCCTCCCCCACTACAAATAAATAAAGCAAAGCTAAAAAAAAAAAAAAAAGTAACAGTCCTCTTTATATATAATTTAAGGATATTAAGAGTTGGTAGGTTAATGGTAAGCATCTATATTTTATTTTCTAATGTTCATTGTTTTTATTCATTTCTCCCTGAGAGCTTTATCTTTTGGACTGAAATTTTACAGGTAGCTTTACTGACACACAATTTAAAATGACAACATATAAACAACAAACCACTTCAAACGTACTTAGAGATAAATAGATCTTGGCATCTCTGTTGGTGTTGTTGACATTTCATGCATTCACTAAGTGTCCTTTAGTCCAGACCTATGCTGACAGAAAATGCAGCTTGTCTTACAAAACAGAAAGGGGGGGGGGGGAAGGCACCCCATAAAGAAATTTAAATAATTTTTATCCTTTCAGAGAATTCCTCCTTTTAGGTCTTAGTGGGAAATTTTATTTTTAAAATTTATATATCTATATTGTTAGAACAATAAGCACATTCTGAATCTTGTTCTTTAACAAGAGCGTGAATTGCATTTAGATAAATAGTGTTCTTTTTTCAAAAGCAATGTAAAGAAATCTTCAAGAGTGCTTGGCAGAGAACTCGATGAAATTAGAGAAAAAAAAATTGATGCCCAAGTTCTAAATATATAAAAAAAAGTCTGACTGACATTCTACATAATTCAGATTGTGTGCAAGATGTTCTCAATAAACATTTATAGACTATACCCCTACACCAACGTCAGAAATTCTAAGCTGGTCCTCTCAATTACTGATGCAATACACCAGCATCGCATTGTCAACTATCAAAAACCATTTTAAATCTATATTTTTCCAACACCAGTTTCACCAATGAAAATAATTTTAAATTATATCAAGCTTGGAAACCATAAAATATTTCTCAAGCCTTTTTTTTTTTTTTTTTTTGCTTTTGTTTTTATTTTTTAGTGTAGGGAATGTCTCTGTCATCTCTTTCAGGAGATAGTATTGTGCTTCTGAACAGCCGTGGTGTTCAGGGGAAGAAAATGAGCCATATCCAATACAAATGCATACACAAAAGTTTTCTGAGCACATACATTAACATAGATTTTTTTTTTTAACCATACATTTAGGTCTCTAGACAACACTCAGACTCCTATATACATTTTTTTTAATATATATGTACACATACATTTACATACACACATTCGCGCACTCACTCACAGATGGAGGAAGAAATTGCCACTGTTTGGATTGCAAGGCAGTGTAATGAAAAGTTCTAGTCACTTCAAAGGGCTGCTAATGAGCTTTCTAAAAAAGTATCCAAGGAAAATTAGAAATTAAGTTTTGTGACAGGTCTCTCTCGGCTGCTGTCCGTCATCTGGTTGGTAATACGCTTGCGGTTCCGTTTCAGTTTAGAAAGGTCTTTGTCAAACACTTCCCCTGAGCGTAGAGCTGAAACCAGGTCATCGAACTCTCCGCCTTCTTCACTATTCTCTTTTGCTTTCCTCATTTTACGTTCTCTTTCACGTTGTTCCTTGAGCTGCAAATAGAAAGCAACCTCTTAGAGAAGTGCCAAAGTGTTGTTTTGTTTTCAGGGGAGATGAAGTCCATGAGGTATGACAATACTTCAAGTCAAACTATCCACGTGCACCCATGCCCGCTAATCCCCTCAGATGTCACAAGACAGAGGGAACTGGGACTTGAGGTCTCATTGTAGAAGAAATGAATAATGAAGAAAGATGGCCACTACTTTGTGATTAGACACTCACCATCTAGAATCTAGGTAAATCTCATGATGCTCTAGTTTAAATAAGAGCAATCGAAGCCATTCATATTGTTATAATGGAACCAGAAAGTTATCACTTAGCAGTCCCCAGATACTGGTTTCTTTGATGGTACAGAGAAACCAAAGCAAATGCTCGTCGGGCCACGTTCCTCTTATCAAAGGCTTAGCTTGTATCTCCTGTGGCTACCTGGAGCCTGCTACACATGAGTTAATATAATTAAAAGGCAAATTATACAGGTACATTATAGAAAATTTAGATAATTCATATAAACAGAAGGGTGAAAACCTTCTCTAATTCTACTGTTAAGAGATAACCACTGTAAACCTGTCAGGGTATAGTCCAGCACTATCATTTTCCTTATTAACACTTACCTTATTAAAAAAAAGGGTTTCACATATAAATAATTTTGTAAGCTTTCTTCCATTAATATTCTTTGAAAATGTAACTTTTATTTTATTTTTTTTTATTTATGATAGTCACACACAGAGAGAGAGAGAGAGAGAGAGAGAGAGAGAGAGAGAGAGAGGCAGAGACACAGGCAGAGGGAGAAGCAGGCTCCATGCACTGGGAACCTGATGTGGGATTCGACCCCGGATCTCCAGGATCGCGCCCTGGGCCAAAGGCAGGCGCTAAACCACTGCGCCACCCAGGGATCCCGAAAATGTAACTTTTAAGGACTGCATAAATATCCCATTATGTAGCTATTATTATCATTTAAAGCTAACAACTGGTCAGTAAACATTTAGGTTGTTTCCATGTTGAGGTATTGCAAAGACTGCTATTCCCTTTGTGTAAATTTTTGATTATTTCTTTAGAATAATTTCTAAGAAATGAAACCTCATATCAGAGGATATAGATGTATTTTTTCAGGCTTTGGATCTATATTGCCAGATTACACTTATACCGATCTACACTCCCAGCAGCATTCTAGAGAGTAGATGCCCTTCTCTCTGCTGGCACACTGGAGTGCTGTCTACAAACCAAGGAGCTGCAGCGTTGGACTTTCTAGGAGGTGGAAATGGCCAATTTCACCATTTTCTTACCTGAGCTTCCATGCGAGCACGCCGTTCTTCCTCCTCCTTCTTCTTTCTCATGTTTTCATTCTCTTGTTTGGCTTCTGACACAGCTTGAAGAAACTGATCAAAAATGCCAAAGAACTCATCCGGCTGGATTTTGCCAGCCTCTTCTCCAAAGTGTTTCACCGCTTTAGTAAACTGGAAAAAAGTAGGTTTTTAAGAAGTTCAGGATTTCAAGAGAATTCAGTGATCAAATAGAAATCTCTCTAGAAGTACTAAAGCTCAAATAGAGTCAGATATAACTTGCTGGATTTTAGTGAGCCTGTATTTATCTTTGGCTGCTTAACAGGCCTGTCAATCATTTCTAAGGTAAAAAATTTAATACTCCTCGACTTTTGAAACCATTTATTCTTTTCCACCTCATTTCAGCTTAACACCAATGATTACCTGCTCTGACTTTTTATTAACTAAACAGTAGTAAAAACAAGAAAGCAAAATATCATAGGGCAGAGCACTCAAGACATAAAACTAATAGCAAACTCGGCAGGGGTAGGGAAACTTGTACTTTTAACTTTTCTTTGAAGTAGTTTAATATCATTTATTAGTGCCATATGGCTAATATCAAAAGCAAATGGGATCCAGTGCTTCTTAGCTGCTTTTCCTAATCCTAAGTAATGCTAGTATTGTGATATTTCCTGGGCCTCAGTTAGAAAACAGTCATGGACTATGGAATCATTAATGCAACCCCAAATTTATGACTGAGAATATGATTTTATTCCAGATCCTTTGTTAGAGAGAACTCCTTTCAAAACAGCTAAAATGTAAAATATTAAGGGATAATTTAAAAAAAATTAATACAAATATATGTATATAGTAACAAAATAGTATTTCCAGTCTCCAGTTTTTTTTTTCCCTTTGGACCAATGAATGTGCCATTTAATATTTTAATTATTTAAAATGAAGTATAATTAACATACTGTGTTCTATTAGTTTCAGGCATACAACATAATGATTCAACAACTCTATTCAGTACTCGGTGCTCACCAGGAAAAGTGCAGTCTCCATCAGTCACTAAATGTTATTACAATATTCTTTTTTTCTAATTAAATTTTTATTTATTTATGATAGTCACAGAGAGAGAAAAAGAGAGAGGCAGAGACACAGGCAGAGGGAGAAGCAGGCTCCATGCACCGGGAGCCCGATGTGGGATTCAATCCCGGGTCTCCAGGATCGCGCCCTGGGCCAAAGGCAGGCGCCAAACCGCTGCGCCACCCAGGGATCCCTTATTACAATATTCTTGACTATATTCCTTATGCTGTATTATTCTAGTTTTAGTTCTCTTGGTAGTTATCTTCATTACTCAAGTTCGCATACTTTTAAGGGGTCTTAGCGGTATCATGACTATCCAAATAATGTTCAATACCAGTCACAGTGTTTGTTAGAATTTTTTTTACTCTTTAAGAATCTAATGCTATTACTTCCAAGCTACTAAGGAAGGTGCTTCCAGCTTCAGAGTCAAATAAATTCTCATTCCTATGCCTAATCAACTATTTAACATTTTCCAGATCTTTAATTTTCTTATTTAAACTATGAAGTGTTTATGCAGTGCCCCCAACCCAAGACTTTCTAATTGCTTTTATTTTTCTTGCATTACTTGCCTTTATTATATTTTTTCTGATATTTCAGTAATACGAACTCCCTATAGGAAATGTTTTCAGTGTTTATTTTTTCCCCTAGTTTTGCTGAAATTTAATTGACATATAGCACTGTATATAATTAAGGTATGCAGCATACTCTCTTGACTTCAATATAACATGAAATGATTACCACAAGAAGTTTAGTTAATATCCATCACCTCATACAGATACATACAAAAGGGTCTACTCAAAAAAAAAAAAAACAAACAAAAAAACAAACAAAAAAAACCCCAAAAGGGTCTACTCTCCTAATAACTTTCAAACACAGCATGCAGCAGTGTTAACTACAATCATCACATTGTATATTACGACCCCTATACTTACCTATCATAAAACTGGAAGTATGTACCTTTTGACCACCTTCCTCCAATTCCCCCTCAATATTTATTAGGAAATAAAACAATTACTAAGTCATAAATGTGTATGACATATTGTTATTTCATATCTTTAAGTTTATAAGAAAAGTGTTCTTTCGCCGTTTCCTTCTTCACTGAGTTGTTCTCAATATTTTACTTATTTGGAAATATTCTATTAGAAATCAGAGTTCTTTAGGGAAAAATACATTTTTCACATGCCACACAAAAAGATCTAGCTTGCCTTCATGGCTTTATAAGCTAATTTCTAAAAGTTCTGGTATGAACAAAATGGCATTAGACGTCCTACAACGGAGTTTCTAAACATTCAAGTTCATGCACTTCAAGTCATCATGAATGATCTTTTTATCTAGGAATTCCAGTGATGATGAAGTCATGTATATTTTAGTCTTAGAAATATGAAGAAAATTAGTTCCAGACTAAAGTTCCCACACTAAAATCTTAAAAAAAATAGTAGGTGGTGCATAATCATGTGTTTTTACATAAAAAATTAACTGTACGGTTGATTCTTATAAAAATGTTTGAGCCCTCAAGGAAGTAGATTCTATATTGCCTGGTTTGGCTGGAGGAGGGGAGTGCTTTCCTTTACAGATCTGTATCATCCAGAGTAGGAGGGATGCATAAGACATGAGTGGGGTCTCTCACAGCAGAGGTTGGGGACATCAATCACGGGATAGAAGAAACTGGACTTTTAACAGCAGTCATCTGAACATGTATCATCTTTCCATTTATTTAATAATGTTGGAGGTGGGGTTTACTGTTGAGACTAGTTAATGTATCCTAATACCATCTTCTTCTGAACTTTCAGCAGTTGTGTATGTACACTATAAATAATCATCTATATCTATTACTAAACAGAGGACTACAGGGAAATGACATCCATCACTAAGCTTCAAAGATCAAGTTAAAGCAAAAGACAACGGTGGCAACTGAGAGATGAGCAGTGTGGAAGAACTCGACAGGACGCGTGGAGTAGATGCTTAAGATCACTTGTTAACAATGAGAAGGAGGAGGGTGAGAGAAAAATGAGAGAATGTGTACATGTCTATGTATATAGATGTGTAGTTTTGGAAGAGGAAATAGCGAAAAGGGGAGGAGTTAAGGTCCTAGTTAATTAGCCAATGAAAACATTTCCTTTAGAGAAAAACAAAATTTTGAAATAGAAAAAAGTCATAAAAGGTACTGTATTATTAAAACATATGCTTCTTGTTATGAGGCTGTGAATTAAACTGTATCTCCTTTAATAAGGTCTGCTGGAGATTTTAAGAGGGAATATCCTGCCCTAAGTCTCTATCTCAGGAGAGCATATAACATACAGGTAACTGAGACATGTGACCTTGGTCATATCTCATCTCACATTCTGTCCTGCCTCTGGTTTTCATGATCTACTCTTTTCTGGTTCCCAGCGATAAATACTTTAATCCAGTATCAATCAAGAGAAAATCAGAAAATATTTACTGGTTTTACACCATTTAGATACTCAGGTCTTGCTAACCTAAAGGCAACACAGGCCAGTTAGACAAAAAGAATGTGCTTCAATTGATCACAGTCCTAGTTATGAAAATGTAGAGTATCTGCAAGTATTAGCCCTGTTAAATAACAGTAAGTATGCATCAGCAAACTTACCAGGTCTTTAGCTTCTGCTAGGAGGTCTTCAACATCAGAGAAACTGAAGCTGGCTACTGTAATGAACTGGCTGACAACAGACACAAACTTATCTCCGGGCTGTGGGGGCTGAGACTTCTGATATTCCAGCTCCTTAAACACAGGAAGTAGATAGTGTGAAGGCAGGTTTCAAACGCTGATACATCATGTCTACTTTTCCATATTCCTCAAATTTAATAAGTAAAAATGGCAAGTACATCAAACCTACTCTGAACACTTTGCGATACCCTAGGTCCCACAGACCTTCTGTCTACCACGTCAGAGCCATGCCCCTGTGCGTGCGCACCCATATTTGCAAACAGCAATTTAGTCAATCATCTGAGTACTTCATCAATGTGATTTCTTATACTGGCTTCAGGACGTAAGTAGATTAGCATTTGTAGAAAATAAACAGAAGTTAAATAAGGAGAGCAAATTGGATTCAAAAGACGTGTGACTAAAGGCAAGATAAGTCAATTGTCAGTATTCTGTGCTCAGAATTCTGGTTCCTTGCTTTTTCTTTCTTTCCCTCTGGCCAAGTCTTCTGACTGTCTACATGAGGACATCTGGGTCAATGGAATTTCAACAGTGTTTGGCACCATAATCGTCTACCATTTTTCTTCCTGTCTATACCATTTCGTTTTTGTGAACAGGTTACCTACCTGTAAGAGTATTAGTCAGTGTCTTATTAAATTATCCGTATACTTCATTACCAGGGTGATGAACATACAAATTATTCAAATCTAATTTTAGTAATTAATTTCAACCATTGCCAGATGCACTTTCTTAATCCTACCCTTTGTGTATGAGGGATTATTATCTTCATTGTATAGACACATAAATTGATGCTTAGAGGGATGAAATTCTTAGCTCAAAGTCAAGTAGCTGATATGTGATAGAGCTAGATTTTGAACTCAGGTCTGTCTGACTCCACAGTCTCAGCAATAACCGTGCTGGGCACCAAGTGACTCAATCTAGATCTATTTTCTTCTGTAACTGTTTTGGCGGAGGTACTACGAGTAGGAGTAGAGAAGTCACAGGCTATGGGTTCTGATTCAGTTCTACCACTGATTTGGTTCTTATCCATGACAAGTGGCTTGGGCCTCAGTTTCTTCACTTATAAAAAGCAGGCAATATCCACATCACAATGAGAATCAATGAAATAATAGATTGGAAAGTTATAAAATATGGAACTTGCTCTGATTGGAATAAATTGCCACAATCCTACTACTTTGGCCTTGAAAGTGAGCATGTATGGATGTGAGGTATAGAGATATACAAGCAATTTTAAAGTATTTCTTTAGTGTATAATTTCCTTTCAGACTGAATTTAGAAATCCATCTTTGATATCTTCAAACAATATAATCAATTCGTGTAAAGCATAATTAGGATACATGAATATTTAGACAGGCCAACGTCTACCTCTCAATATTTCCTTCTAGTGCTACAACTTGACATGTATGCTGCCAGGGGGAAGAGGAGGTTTCTGTAGCCCCTTTCCTATGAAAAGTGTTTTATAGTGTACATGACTCAAGTACTGAAGTGATTTCAGCAAAACTACTTTTAACAAACCCAAAACTTCCTCCAAACTTCCTTTCCACCAGGGCCCCTCCCCATGCCTTGCTCTGAACTAGCTTAGATGCAAAGGTCAGAGCATCCATTATTATTATTAGGCTTTAGGGCTGTCATAACTGTCACACTAGTCTCGAGAAAACCTTCCACTGGGAGGAAATGGGACCAAGTGAAGGCTATAAGATGAACCTCATCCCAAACTGCCCTTAACCAGTTTGGCTTCTGAAACCTGAGAAGGACCACCCTACTTGCTCACCAATGTTTAGGCCCATTGGGGTTGGTGGAACAAGATTTCATTCAGTTCATTTCCTTTACTTTTGAAAGATTATTCCCCACCCCCCAAAAAGGGGGAAAAAAAGCCTTACATGCTCCCTAATTTGTTAAAAACAAACAGAAAACGAGCAGACATGGTGACTTTAACTTTTGTTAATTATGTCTTTAATGAAGTCAACTCTCTCTATGGTACAGTTGTAAAATTTTTGTGATATTATAGTAATATTAAAAAAAGAAAAGAAGGAGGGTCCTCATGTTATTGTTACCGATAAATAATTTGAAAGGTACTTAAGAGAGGGGCACCCTTCCAAGCTGCCTGCAGAGCAGTCTCCTTTGTCAATGGCAGACTGGAGTGAGGACCACTCTCCTGAACAGGTTTCTCATCCTGACCTGCCTCCTCGCCCAAGGCAGCACTGCACATTGACTCCTCTGCCTCCAGCAGTGTGGCCTGCTTTCCTTCCATGGAGGCCTAGCACATGGTGTTCTGCACACCAGGGACAACTTCTGCTCCTATGTACCTAAGTTCACTCCACCCTCCTTCTAAGCCACAGCTCAAAGTTCATTTCGGTGAGAAGAGAAGCTTCCTCTAATAAATGCCCATCATTCCATAAGATTTGGACTAACCTAAATCCACTCTTCTTCCTTAAGGCACTTTTGTAATCACTGTGCTTATCTGGATGTGGCCAGGCTGAGTGAATGTGAACGTTTGCTGGACCGGCTGCTCTTGGCTATTGCAATACCTGGAGGGCAAGGATTCTGAATCGTCATGACCTCTCGCCTTGAGAATGGACTGTGTATCCAAGGATTTGTTCAATAAATACTCCCTAAAGGACCAACTCTGAGACAACAGAGGTATTCCACTGCTCTATTAAGAAAGAACATTACTTATTACTTATTAATAGAACATGGACACTGAGCGGATCCTTGAAGATTATCTTGCCCAAAACACTTTAATGAGTCCTACCTTACAGGTAGGAAATTGGTGCAACCCTAGGTCTAGCTTCCTAGTTCCTGCTCCTGGGATACCCCCATGACATTGGCAGCTGAGTCACCGGAGTGACACAACCTGCCTTTACTTCTTTAGTGCTGTTGTTTTCCTACTTATTTATTTTTTTAATCAATAAGTGTTTTTCTCTGGGCATATCACCTTGTTGGACATCATCAGCACCTAGAGGTAGTGAAGAGACTGGGAATTAGAAGAAGAAATGCATACTCACCATCTCTACTGCTTTTAGGCCACTTCTCAAGGTACTTATTTCTTTGTCCAGCTCAGTCATGCTGTTGTAAACAGCAATATTTTAGTAACCAACATGTGACTTACATGTATTAGATAGATGATGGTTTACATATCTCATGCTTGGAAGTTCCACACTAGTTTATTTTAAATGCTTAAAATTCCCTTTATTGCTCAGATCTCACAGAATAACAAATTTTTAAACTTATGGAATTTAGATATGGAATTATGGCTTTTGTTTCCCACAAATAGCAGGTATATTTTATAGATTAAAAATAGAATATAAAAAAAATAGAATATAAATGTCTCCCATCTCTACAAAAATACTTCATGTTTCAATCTAACACAAATCTCACTTAAGCAAATTATTATATGTGGAAATAAGCTTTTTGCCATTATGTGGCTCCCTTCGAACAAGTAAAAAAAACTGTCTTATCCACAATCATGCTCATACTGTACTCTTTGTAATCAGTACATTTGCTTTTTTTTAAGACAGATTTATTTATTTATTTATTTGAGAGAGAGAGAGAGAGAGAGAGAGAGAGAGAGAGAGAGAGAGAGAGGTGGAGACACAGGCAGAGGGGGAAGCAGGCTCCATGCTGGGAACCCAACGCGGGACTCGATTCCAGGACTCCAGGATCGCGCCCTGGGCCAAAGGCAGGCGCTAAACTGCTGAGCCACCCAGGGATCCCCAGTACATTGCTTTTCACCAAAGCTCTGGTCATATGAACATTACAAGGTGATGGCTTAGATTTCTTTTTTTTTTTTTAATAATTTTTTTTTAAGATTTTATTTATTTATTTGAGAGAGCATAAGAGAGAGAGAGAGCAGAGGGAGTGGGAGAAGCAGGCTCCCGTCCAAGCAGGGAGCCCAATGCAGGGCTTAATCTCAGGACCCTGGGATTATGACCTGAGCTGATGACTGAAGCAACCCGGGCACCCCTAAAAGGACGCCTAAAAATACCTAAAAGGATTATTTTTAAGTAATCTGTACACCCAACGTGAGGCTCAAACTCAACTCAATCAAGAGTGGCATGTTCTGACAGAGCCAGCCAGGTACCCTGGTAATGGCTTAAATTTCAATCATTAATGATATTTCTTAAAGTTGTACTAACGAGATTTCATTGTCTCTCCTTTTTTTTTTTTCCTGGGTTTCTCCCATAAAACTTTCTATTTGATGGCTTTTAAACATCAGAGATTATAACCTGATTCTCTCAGATAATTCAGATGAATTTGCTTAAAATTCACCAATATTTCATTTACTTTAACCTTTTAATTTCACGTCTCGCATTTCTACCAAATTCTACAAAATGAGGGAAAAGATTAGCCTGCTTATCATACTTTCCAAATTCACTGTAAAAAGATGCAGTTTTAAACACACACACACACACACACACACACACACACACACACACACACACACGTATTTTATTTTTAAAGGGCCAAGAGAAGGAGGGAAGACCAAAAAGAAAAACTGCCTGCTCTTCAGTCTCTGAAAAGTGGTGTGAATTCTGTGGCAAAAGTTTGGCAACTTTCCATTTTATTTTTAGTTTCTTCATTTGCATAAAGACTGCTTTCCATGAAAAGGCTGTCTTAGTTTCTGAGAGTGTGTGCACATGTGAAAATTACTGGCAACATCCTGACACTTAAGTTCTATTTGCTTAGCTATGTATCCTCATTAACTATGGGTGCTCCTACCTGTATTTATTAATAGAACTACACCTTTTCAAAGTACTAGTGAAACCACATTCCTTTCTTATACTCTTAACAATTCAGAAAATTAGGTTTTCTGAAAGTTAAAAAATACATGCAGGAGTAGTCCAAAGGAGCTAGGAAACATATATATTCAAAACCATGTAACGTATTTCAGTGACTTAGATGGGATTCAAACTTTACTTCACATGTTATTCAGGGGAAAGCCAACAGAAGGGCCCTCTTCATGCAATGCCAGCTAACTACCTCAATGTTACTAAAGCACAGTCCAAGTGATTTTTAAAAAACTAAAACAATTCCCTATAAGTACTTACTTTACTTTTGCTGCTTGAGGAATGTCCCGCAGTTCTTCATTGAGATTGAGAACCTTGGGGTATTTATTTTCCACAATAGTTATGAGATAGTGCAAAAGTGTAATGTTCCTACAATTAAAAAAGGAAAAAGTATTAAACATGGTTAATATCTATATATGATTTGCAAGTCCAAGCAGCTGAACCTGCAAGAACGCTATATTCTTGCATTTGTTTCAAAGTTTGGAGACCCCTTTAAGGCAAGGATTCTCAAGAGAAGGGAATAAGGGGAGAGCCTACATGAGATTTACATAACTGTATGACGAAAGGAAGCATATACTTTCAAAAGGGAAGATTTACTACTGTGGCTCATAACAAGCATCCTTCAAAATCTGGATGATGGAAATGAACTGGAACCACAGTCAGTGGGAACATACCTACCAAAGACAAGGTGTATCCTGAGTTTCACACCAAGAAGGACGCAGTGAGGGGGGGGGGGGGGACAGGGACTGAGGGATATTTAGTTTGCTGCATAGGACAGCTATTTTTCAAATTTAAAAGTACACAGCAGCAACTCACTAATAAGAATTTATTGATCATTCTCATTTAAGTTTTTTCAACTCTATGAGGACTACTCCATCACTGCAACTATTTATTTTGCTAGCTTTTGTCCCCTCTGACTCATGTTTTGCTGTTGTAGCAAAGGGTGGTCAGAAAGTTAGAAGGCGCCCTGGTTTAGGGCTGGGCCTGGGAGTGGACCAGGACTGTACCATCAAGGCTAGGACATCTTTGAAGCCAAAAATCCACTTCCTAATTTTAGCAACACTTCAGCTCCTAACTATATAACCCAGCTCTGTCTTTGGTGGTGACAGGACTGAACGCTGACTGACCTGGGTTGAAAAAGTGGATGTCTGATAACACTCTCTGTTAGGACAAGCTGTGGTGGTCTGGTCCTGTTGTCCTTGACTCCATGCACATTACAGTCCCCTGGACCCCATATGCCTGGGCCAACCTGAGATTTATTTCATTGGAATGAGGTGGGGCCAGGCTTGGGTATTTTTAAATCCCCCCCCCCCCCAGTAACTCTAAGAGCCAGGATCAAGAACCACTAGTCTAATGAAAGTTACCATAATCAAGAGGACAGAAATGTATTTTTTAAAAACATATTCATCAATTTTAGGCAGTTACTTTGCTAATTTACGAGGCTAAGTCACAAGAGCCCTACTCACCTCCAACTAAAGGGAAGCAGAGTTGTCAATTTCCTTTCCCATAATAATGAAATGGTTTTCATTTCTGGTTACCCCTGCATGCACCTTCATAAAAGTCAATGTAATCCCATTCCTCTGAGTCAACTGACCCACATATGAAAAAATGTTTCCTTTACTTTTCTTGCTTTAAGAAATAATTAGAAAACAATAGCTCAGCAAAGTAAAGCAGTAGCTAGTGATTCTGGCCATTTACTTTGCAGCTATTGAGCTGTTACCCTTCTATTTCAGTTCTGCTGCTCACAGAACCTAAGTGTTGGCCCATGTGCTTGCTTGCTGCGTGAGGGAGCAAAATCCTGACTACCATTACAAGAAAGAATAGAGCCATTTCACTTGTTTCACAGAGATGCTTTGTTATTAAGAGAAACTTAATTTAATTAACCACATATACTTTTCATAGTGTAGAAAGATTTCGTACTAGATCAAATATTCACATTTATTAGCTATACAAATAACACCTCATTTGACTGAATAGAAATTCTTGAAGAATGAAAAACCACACAACAGCCATACATCTGCCTATTCACTGGTATTACTGGAAACAAGCCTTTAAAGCAGAGTGAATGTACCCTTCATTGCTGACTGTTCCATCCTTGTGCGGTCTTATCAGATTCAACTGAACATTCACTGAATAACTACTTATCACAAGGCAGTCTGCTGGGCACCATGGGTTTATAAGCCCCTGGTACTATTCCTAGGGACCAAATAGTCACAGGAAGAGGAAAGAGATCAGAAATGTTTTTAATTTATTATTTTGAAAAAGCTCACATATTAAATTCTATAGTAACTTCAGTAAGCAGATAATCACAAAGGAAGTGCCAGGTTATCAGTAATGATGGTGCAGAGGGTATCAAGGGACAGAGAGAAATGAACAAAAGAAGGGGATAACAGAGAAGGAGGGAAGGCACTAACTGGTAGTGAAGGTGTTCTTCCTCTCCAACTTGCAAGTTCTCTCAAGTTGAAGAGAACACACTTCCTTAAAAAGGTGACTCTCCTTATATGCAGGTAAGATGTTGCAGTTACCTACTACACCTTCCAAATAAGATCCATTTGTTGTTGAGTAGAGCTGAGGACAACAGAACAGGTATCATATACCTGCGAGGCCAAATACCTTGCCTTTGATCTTAGGCAAGCTAAATGAGCCACTTGACACTGCCTCAGTTTCTTTATCTGACAACAGGTGATATAGCACTCAGCCTATGTACTACACACAACCAAATATGAAACTGCTCTGGAAGGATCAAGTGCTTACATTAAAAATAAGGTGGTGACAGCACAGCTGTCCTTTGTTAATCTATCTCTACATGATGCAAAAAAAAAAAAAAAAAAGCTTTAGCTCTACAACACATTGCTTCTTATAGGATGGATTCAGGGTTGCCAAAATGCTATGTATCACTAATTATATAGAAAATATGGAGTAAAAAGCTTTGCTAGTGGCAATAATTATGGTGAACAGTCCATATTTCTAAAAAGAATTTGGATGCAGAGAAGTTCATCTTAGAAACAACTGTGCAAGTTGCTTTGAAGTCAGTAGGAACCTTAGAGAAACAGCTCACAGGGAAACTAGTGTTACTATGCCTAATGATCCTACCTGTTAATGACACCAGAGCATTTTCACCTCTTGGTGTTTCTAACAAGAATCCAACCACTTAAATACACTTTCTATGAAGCATTTTGAGGAGTCTTGAAAGGAGCAGCTTAACAGTAACAAGCCAAAGTGTATTAATACCTCATAATTTTTTTTATAGCTGCTAGCTTCAATGTATAAAGAAAGGAAGACATACCCTAAAACTCCAACAAGCTTCACATTTTATCATCAACTGTCAGTTTTTTTCTTTTCCCTGGAACACAGTTCTCTGTGGAGGGGCCATGACTCAGGTCATGAGGAGACCAGTAGCACACAGGTCACATTGTGTTTCTTGATCTGGGCACTAGTTTATTTATTTTTTTTTAATTTTTATTTATTTATGATAGTCACAGAGAGAGAGAGAGAGAGAGAGAGAGAGGCAGAGACATAGGCAGAGGGAGAAGCAGGCTCCATGCACCGGGAGCCTGACGTGGGATTCGATCCCGGGTCTCCAGGATCGCGCCCTGGGCCAAAGGCAGGCGCCAAACCGCTGCGCCACCCAGGGATCCCTGGGCACTAGTTTAAACAGAGGTCCAACTTGTGAAAATTCATCCAGCTGTACATTTATGATTGGTGGACTTACCTTTAGTGTATTACACCATAATAAAAAGTTTATCCAAGAAAACCTGAAAACTTAGACAATAATATCCCTGGGGACTGAAAATGGATGAAGGATAATTGGCCTAATGGGTTATTTAGGGTTATTTGCGATTAGGAGAAAAGAAAGAAGTCAATGCTGGAGAAAGAATAAGCCTGAGCAAGAGACAAGCAAACCAGAGGCTGCAGTATTGGGGAGGCCCAGGAGGCCCACAGGGGCCCTGACCTAAGCTCCTGGATCCTCCAAGTGCTAGAAGGTACCATACTTACTTGTCAATACTAGATTTTGTGTCAGCAATCTTGTTTAGGCTGGATATCTTGAATCCATATGCATTGCCTCTTTGGCCTTTATTCATGTAATTTCCAAATGCCAAAACCACCTCTAGCAACTGCTTCAGCGCGCTGCTCTTAAACACCTCTTCTGAGCCAGAACGAATTGCTTCAAAACAAAGCACACATAAACACAACTACTACTACCAAGACTTCTCAGTGATACCCATCCTTAATCCACACACCTGAGAGCAGATACTGAAGATGTAAGACCGGGTTATTAGACTACCAGGGAGCACTTACAAAACACCCAAACCAGAAGCACGGAGCCAAGAGACAGGGAGAACCAGCTGATGTTGTTCAACAGACCCACAGACAGTTGCACAACCCTATCCTTTCTTAGTCCTGTTCTTGGGTGACTCATTAACTGTAAGCAGTTAGGAATACAGAAAAAGTGTTTGCATTTCCCACATTCCTATGCACACACTTTCTTGCCTGGTATGAGTCAGATCAACAGGATTGCTAATCAATTCTATGGACAGAAACACCGGCCCAAAGTGTTTCATGTTAGAGCTTGCAGGTGTCATCAGGGATTGGAGCTTGAGCAGGGTCCTGAGCCCAGCCTGCATTCTGTGGCTGTGCTCTTTAGCTTCCTATATTACAAACACTTAAAAATTTAATAGCCTTAAATCTTCCCTTAGAAATATCTAGTAAAGCATCATTGTGATAAAGCTAGTTACAGATTTAACGCTAGCAACAGTCAAATATATTTCTCACCAACACCCAGGATGCGAAAAGCCCACTTCTACAGAGGAGCCCAGGAGATGTGCTGTGAGGTCCAAAACCCAGGCTAGGCCAGAGGGCCAAGTATGGACCTAAGTACTTACTCATCGGAATTCCAAAGGATTTTAAGGAAAAAAATCACCCAAGGGATCCTGTTTACTATCTGCACTTGTATTGTACTTGCATATGGGCACTTATGATGAACATCATTATCAGTCTGGAGGCTTGACTTTACCTTCTACTTTCGGTTTCACTTCTGCCACACGCTCTGCAAACTTCTTTTTGAAGTACAGTGATTGCAGTCTTTGTTGATAATGATTAATTCTGTAAGAGCAAGCATGGACTGATGAACATTTATGTACTTAGTATGTCTATGTTCACTCAATGGGTATGGAGATGGAGGTACCTTAGAGCATATCCTCCAACACACACACACACACACACACACACACACACACACACACACATCCTCTCCTGGACAGGAGCACAGGAAATGAGGCCACTTTGCTTGGAGAGCCCATTTCCCTCCAACCAACAGGCGTTATTCGGGCAATGGCAGCAGGGTCCTTAGCTCTAATCAGACTGGGCAAAAGAAAATGAGAGTTGCCTCTTTCCCTTCCTCAGAGTCCCAGGAGCTCCTGTGGACAGAGGATAAAAAGGAATGAAAATATAAAAGCCTCCCCATTCTGCAGCAAATAAGGAGCTGTTTCCTATATGTCTCCTATGCTTCTTAACTTTCCACAAAGTTTATTTGTCAAAGCTATAGGGTAAAACTTGTCTCTGGCATTCTCTCCTCATAGCATTCTCTTCCCACTCATGTCTCCAAACCATCCTCTTTCTTTACCATTAGCTCCCTATCTGCTCCCCTCAGGGATGGCAGGCTTCTGCCTTCCAAGATAGCAACTAGTGACTAGAGATAGGAGGGTGCAAACTGGTCTCTGGTCACCACTAAGAGAAGTTGCTGCTGCTGAGAGGGTGAGGGCCGGTATTCTTGCCAAGGCCTTCTGAAATCAAATCACTGCCTTACCTGTTCTCTAGTGGAAACTTCAGTCCAGTAGCCCCATATAATCAGACAGACCTGAGTTTGCAGCCCAGGTTCTCCTCTTGTTAGGTGACCTTCAACAGGTAACTAAACTCCTCCATTAGATGGAAGAGAATACCTCCCTACCCAAAGTCCTCCTGGAAGGGCTGATAGGAGGATCAAGGAGGATCTTTGATGCATGCATGGATCAAGACAATTACAAATGGCAGCTACTGTGGGTGGTCATCTATTTATCCACACACAGGCTTGCTGAGCACACCTATCAAAATTCCAAAACCATCCTTTGTCCTATAGTAGTATATAAAATGGCAAGATGAGATGGAATAACAGAAATAAGTCCAGATATGGCAGAAATGTAGAATGACAGATAAGTAAGTTCACCTTGTCTATACTCATAGGCCTTTGGAACTCAGGGAAAGAGCTCTGCCTGGGGTTGAATGAGAGTCTCAGGGCCATTGGTCCTTATCTAATGCAGAATCAATTTTCCAGGCCTGGGATGGCAAGTAGACTCCGCTCACATGCCAAACAAAATTATGAAGCAGTGGCTGCCTCTGGGTTTTCTGGAGAAGGGTTGAGAATGCTTGCCAAGCTCTGTGGGAAGTATGCCATGATTGATTAGAGATGTCTGCATGTGTCATGATTTGACATCCAGACCCTAGCTGTTCATTTATGTGGGCTCCAGGTCAACAATGCTGAGTCTGTCCAGTCTTTGAGATGCTGAGGTATAGGGAGAAGTGAGATACAATCCCAAAGCAGTCAAAGTGGTGGGGAGAATGACACTGAGTGGAGCCAGGAAAAGTTATGACTTGTTTAGGTCCAGAACTAGAGGTAATATGAAGAAATACTAAACCTGGCTCACCCACGGGCAAGAACTCACATAAACAAAACAAATTCCACACAGCTCAGACTTATGAAGATTTTGTAATTTAAAAAGGCTTCAAGTTAAGCCAGGTTATTGGCCCAAATAATTCAACGAGAATTGAAAGTTTAACTTCCTTAGAAAGGTAAGGGGCATGTTCACATTTTATGCATTTTCAAACTCACCGGCTCATTTCGAAAAGGAATCTATCCGCCTTGGCCATTCGATCCAGTTCATGTTTATGTTCCTCTAACAGGTCAATATCACTTTTTTCAGGAACAAATTTCAAGAGCTAAAATGTACATGCAGGTATTAAAACTGAGGTTTATAACTAGATTCTTGCAGTAATTTTTCATTCTTTCAGTTAATTTGCCCCAAGATGAGACGGTAACTTTTATTTACTTTATAAGTTCTGCATTCAGGTCATTGTTAAGATACAGTACAAAATTTAAATCTTTCCAGTTAGGTGGTCAAAAAGTACCAACCCCAGTTATTAGATAAATTAAGTTCTAGGGATGGTATGAGGACTATAGCTAACACTGCTATATAATGTATAGGATAAGGATAGTTGTTAAGAAGGTCACTTCTAAGTATTATCACAAGGAAGAGTTTTTTCTTCTCCTTTTTATTGAATCTATAGGACATGATGGATGCTACCAACTACACTTGCTGCAGTAGTTATTTCATATTTGTAAGTTAAATTACTATGCTGCACACTTTAAATTTATAGTGATGTATGTTAATATTTCAATAAAATTGAAAATTTTTTTTTACTTTTTTAAAAATATTTTTAATCTTTTTTACTTTTAAGTAGTTAAATTGGTGTTAAGATGCATTCCTGGCACCGCTCTATTCTATACTGTCTCTCAAATCAGATTGTAGAAGCTCTTTACCAGGATCCATTTTGCATAGACCATTAGAGGGACTTTGGAGATTCAACACTCTCATTAGAAGATGATACAACTGAGGTCCAGAGAGACAAAGCCAGTCACCCAGGATTACAAAAAAACTTTACGTAATTGTCAGAAATAGAACTTAGGTCTCTGACTCCTAGCTCAATGCTTTTTTCTATTACATCATGCTGGAATGAATTCTATGTGTATTTTCCATTCAACTTGTTTATTTTTCTGGCTTATCTAATTCCATTTCATTTTTTGCTCCACGTAGAGATGGATGAGAAGAACACAGTAGGATTTGAAGTTTTGGATTCCATATTTTATTTTGGTGGAATAAATGAGCATGCAATGTAGGAGAAATAACAATAATAAAGTTGAAAAGTACTCTGTGTCTGATTTCCTTTAAAGTTACAAATATGTGTGTATACATCCACAGTCTTGTCCATGTGTACTATTTTCCAGATTGAGTGCCCTTGGATATATACATTTTTTTAAATGACATTGACCATCTGGACCCCAAGATTCTCCCCATAACTTGAAGCTGGCATTTGGATGGTTCATTTAGTAGGCTTCCAAAATTTGTTGGATTTAAGGAAGGGACCTCAGAAAAAGCAGTCAGTCTGGGTGCCACCAGCAGGGAAAGAGAATTAGAACTATAAGTGAATGGTATGTGATCAGAAATATATTCCAAGCAGAGTGCATATCATGTGCCAGGGTCTGGGATGCACAGCACAGCATCTGTGCAAGTAGAACAGCTGTAATGGCAGTGGGGAAGTGCAGCAGTGGTCAAAGTCAGGGAGCAGTAAGAACCTTATCAGAAATTCAGTCTTTATTTTTAAGGGTTCTGGGATATGACTTAAAACTTTAAGTAGGGGAATGAATTTACATTTTTAAAAAGACCACCATGCTCACAGAATGGAGAAATAATTAGAAAGGATCAAAAGTATTAAGGGGCTGTAATTAGACTGTTGGTACAGTAATCCAGGGGAGAGGATGGTGGCCTGGATTGGGTAGTGGGTAGATTCGAGAGCTATTTAGGGGGATTGAATGGAACTGGCCTGACTTATTGATGGGACGCATCACAGTAGAGGGTCAAAAGGATGAGGTCCAGGCTTTCTGGTTTAGGCAACAATGTATACAGAATATAACAGGAAACCCAGAAAGAAATGGCTGGGGGAGAATGGGTGGGGAGAAAGTGATTTTAGTGCTTGAAATACTGGCAAGAGAGCCAAGTAGTAATTCCTAGTAGGCAGGTAGACAAATGGGTCTGACATCCTAGAGATCTGTTTGGAAGAGAAAGCATTGATAGTGGTTGTAACATGCAAGGATGTAAGTGAGGTAACTAGGGGAACCATCAAGAGAAAGCAGGGCTGAAGGGAAGCCAGTTTTTTTTTTTGTTGTTGTTGTTGTTTTTTGGAAGCCAGTGTTTGAGGAATGAGGAAAGAGGAAGAATCTTCAGAGGACACAATGAAATGCCAAAGAAACACATTTCACCATGGAACATGGCCTGTGGTATCACATACCAGCAGCAAATCAAGGAAGATAAGGTCTGCAAAGTGTCCCCTAGCTTTGGCAACAAGGAAGTGGTGAGTCCTTGGTGAAAACAGCTTTAGGGAGGTGAGGAAGAGTTAACAGGAGGTGAGTGTGGACAAGCTTTCAAGAACTTTGCTTGTATCACAAGAGAGAGCACAGTAGCTAGATGGGCATGTGTGTATTAAAAGGTGTTTTGTGAAAGGCTGAGACTTGAACAAGTTAAGAGTCAAGAGGGAAAGGTGTAAGATCTAGGAGAGGGGGACAGGGTCCTCTGATGTGGCCGGGTCTCTGAACAGAAGGAACGCCTGGGCCAGAGCAGAGGCCAGAGAGACACCTTATTTCTAATGGGATGTAATGGATGTGGATGCCGGCAGGATCAGTGGTCTGGTGGCCTGATAGATTCTAGACATTTATGTTCCTGTGTTCAAGTGGTGCCAGTGGACAGGACAAGTATCTTCTTCCTCTTCCTCTTCCTCAGTGCAGGGAAGAAGGTAGTAAGGCAAGGGAGAAGGGAGACAGAGAAAAAGACTGTTTTTTTCCCCTTAGTTTGGACTTTTATCTCCTGGGCAAGGAAATTCAGTTCCAGTCTCAGGGATTCCCCCTTCCCCCACAACACACACTGGTTTGTGTGTGCTAAGCCCATAGGCCCCTGTTCACCAGAGCACAATCACTTGCTCTCTTTTGAGCACACTGCAAGAAGCACATGCTAAAGGTTCAGTCCTTCCCAAAGCAGAGGCAAGTGACAGACTATGTAAGGATAGCTTTAAGAGAGGAATGAAGAATTAGACCAACACCTGGGAATGAGGGGAAAGGTATGCATTCCGAGAAACAGCAGTGTATCAATCTTGCCTGAGTTCTGAGCTAAACACAGGAGAGGAGGGAATGAATGTGGCTCACATGCAAATCATAACTAGGAGTAAAGAGATGCTGGCTTCAAAGTTTGTCTGGGAGAAGTGCTGTGTGAAGAAGAGGACGCAGAGGAAGAATAGCAGAATAAGATAGGAAAAGGAAGAGTACGGTAGATGACCAGAGAGTAAGACACAGAATTATCAGGGTAGACCAGGTCAAAAGTATCCCACTTGGCCAGATTCTGCTTCAGTAGACTGATTTTCTTACTTGTATTTATTTGAAGTAAATTCTATTTGCACTCCAAGCCCTTTTGGCAAGATTTTGAAATCCCTTCCCTCAAGGAGGAATTTTGCTGGATGCAATTTCACAGTAAACAGATCTTGTGGAATTTTAAACATATGACCTTGTCAATAGGGGTTGAAGGCCTAAGGACCAAAGTAGCTTTCCACATAGTCCCTTTGTGTGAGCAGCTTGTGATGTGGGCAACCAGAGTACAGAGTCACCTGGGGGCCAGAGAGGGGGCAGCGGGGAACTGGGCTGCAATTTTGGGCAGAGACCCTTGTTGGGACTGGTATGCAGACGGAGAGGGAAGAGTGTGCAGAGTAAAATGCTCTAAACAGTTAATTCTTGATTTAGGAATTATGTATAAACTATTTGTACACAAAGTATCCTAATAGGATATACAGTCATTAACTATTAATAACTAGGTCAAACTTCAGAAAGGATAGCATAACAACTTGGTCCATTGCTAGGTGTGAGGGCTTCTCTAGGATGATTCCAGCTGCATGTTTTAGGTGGGACAGGTGCACTGGGGTATGATGATCCTGCACACACTGCTCCATCCTGCTCTATGTCTGAGGCCTTTTCGGACATTGGTGAGAACACTATAGAAAATGCATAAGCAGATAGGCACTCCCCCTGGAGCAGCCATGCCATCCAAGATAACTGTTAACACCACAAAATAGCCTTTTCCTCTGCTTCTGGGAGCTGAGCACACCAACTAATGAGACCTCAAGTTCAGTCTGGCTCAGGATCATGGGTGTCCACAGTTAACCGTAAGTGGACCTGGCACTAACAAAGGTGGACCTGTAGACAAAAAACACTCAAAACAGGATTTTGTACCAAGGACAATGAGACAAGCAGAACAGTCTCAGAGTGTGGAGACGTTCTCCACATAGCACAGAAAAATTTAGGGTCAGACCAAGAGACAGGTAATAATCCCTGAAACATCTGCTAGTTCAACAACACTGTCATTTGGGGGACAAATGAACAAATCTGCTGAGAAATACCTAACAGAGTTGGAGCGGCGACACTGACTGTGTTATAGGAATACTGCACGAAGAGAGGCGAAGTCACTATATTCAGCTTGCCTGGCCATGGTTAAAATGAATAATTTCAACGCAGATGACAGAGCTAGGGGTTTAACAGTAACTTCTGTGGTGTCGGAATGGTGAATCAAGGCCAAGACACAAACTGTATTAAGAATTCAGTAATGAATCAGTTTACATAGTAGTCTGTGATCTCGTAAGCTAGTGAGGTTCTCCATATTCCTGTCAAACAGACTTCCCTAAAGCTAGTAGATTTGTATGACCTATGGAGGCATAACAGGTTTTTTTTTTTTTTTATTTTGTTTTGTTTCTTTCTTTCTTCCTTTTTTTTTTTTTTTTTTAAGGCATAATAGCTTAACTAACTGCAGCATGAGGGACAGAATCTGGCTTTGTGGGTCCCAGGCATTTGACAAACTTGTGACCTTCCTTCTCACCCAACATTTTGAGGAGCAATGAGAGAATAAACTCTCTTAAGAGTGCCACATTCAACCTTGGTTCAGAGATGAGAAAATTATCCACCAGCAACAAGATTTTCTCAATATTCCACTCCCTGCTGAAAGCCAGTTGTCACTTATGCTCTGAGATATGTCTGGCAGCTCACCTGTTCCAACATGTCCTTGGGCAGATCCTCCTGCTCGTCCATTGTTAGAATTGCCCGTTTGATTTCATCATTGGACAGTTTCAACCTGGATAAAGAATATTTTATTCTGTTGTTAACATTATTGGGTGAGTATTAAATTTTAACACAAGATAATGCATTCTGCTACTCCAGCTGCTGATTTTCAAGAACTGTTTTTTTCAAAATCTTTTAGTGAAAGCTTATTTCCTGACAATATTGCACCTAAAAATAGTATTTTGAAAGTGCTTTAACATTCTTTCAGGACTTTGTAATGTTCTGCTGACACAGAAAAGAAAGCTGTTATGTCTTATTGTTTAGTTTCCTTAAGTAAGGGATTGGGGGATGAGAAATAGAGAAAACACCTATACATACCATTTTCTTTAATATATAGTATCCATGAATTGTAGATGACAGAGAAAAATTAAATTCTTTTTTTAAGATTTATGTATTTGAGAGAAAAAGAGCATGCGCACATGTGTGCATGTACATGCAAGGGGAGGCACAGAGGCAAAAGGAGAGAATCTCAAGCAGGCTCCATGCCCAGCACAGAGCCCAACCTTACAACCCTGAGATCATGACCTGAGCTGAAATCAAGAGTTGGATGCTTAACCTACTGAGCTACCCAGGTGCTCTGAAAAACTAAATTCTTAATTTGATTATTTATCAGGAATGTTTAAATTTTACTTTCAGAGTAAAAAATGGATTTTTAAAAGCTTGAAATCTGTTCTTATTAAAAAGTTGAATAGTTAGTACACAGAATAAAATGCATAAGGCACTTCATGGTTGAGGAATTTTCACATATATGGATAGAGGTTTAAAATAACTGTGATGGTCTTTTTTTTTTTTTTTTTAATGGAGGGAGAAACTGAGGCTTAGGATGACCAAGTGATTTGCTCAAGATCAAACATATGGAAAGTGGCAATATCTTAACACAAACCTGAAACTCTTGATTCTTAATTCCAAATTCCTTTTACAAATCTGCTTATCTACTTACCATCTTATAGGGAAGAATTTAATCACAAATCTGTTTTCTGTTTACCATAACTTTATATGATTTACTAATTTAATTAAGGATTTATGTCTTGATTATGTCAGGACAACAAAGTTTGTATGGACTATAAAGAAGAGTCATGAAATTAAAACATACTTGTAAAAATGTGTTTTTATTAGACACAACCAATAGTCTTAATGCGGGGGGGGGGATCTTAATCAGATCATTAGCTAGAACAACAGAGTCACTCTTTTGTTCTATTTGTAAGCATTAGATCCAGACTTACTTAGAAAAAATCTTATTTCCTTATTAAACTTCCACTATCGTGGCATATTAACATTATTTGGTCTGTTCTAGTCTGTGATCTTCAAAAAAATCACATTTAGGCCTAGACATAAAAATATAAACACACAAACACAGAGCAAGACGTACAGCCTTCACAGGTAACATTTGAAGGCAGGGGCTTTGGCATCAGGTGGGGCCCCTGTCCTGTGTGATGGTGCTGGACCAATGTAACCTTGGATAAAGTCTTTAAGCCTCCATTTTTCTCATCTGCAGAGTGATATAATGCATGTGAAGCATTTAGCACTCTGCCTGGACACAGATAAGGCTCACTAAACTATATGTATTACTCTACCACAGACTTTTCTACCCCAGGGACAAGAAGCAGGAGTACTCATGTAACCTAAACAGTCACACACAGCTACGTGATTGTTACACAGTGCTTAGTAGGCTTACCAGGAACACTTCCCAAAGCACTCTCACATTCATTATTTCACCAGAGTTTCCTCTCTGTACACAACATCCATCAAGACTGAGAGTATTAAACACAAATTAGAAGACAGGATTCTTATTTTAAAGGTGGTTATAATGTTTGGGAGAAACAAATGATAAGCAGAAACACTGGCTCTGTCACAGATAAATGAGGGCAGCAGGAGTATATAGGTGGACGCAAAAGCCACAGAAGGAGGAAAGAACCCTGGACAACACACACCCCACTCTGGACAGCTTTGGCTTGCCCTCGTCTCTAGATTTCAACATTATCTCAGTAAAACCACCCATTTTGCTATTTACACTGCGAGTTGTTTCACGTACCAATAAGCAGGAAAGGGAAGGAACAAATTTGTGAATCATATACTAGTAGCATTCTCTTTTATCTCATGTTTTCAAATCCAAATATAGTGAAATTGCCTTTTTTTTTTTTTAGAGATGGAGAAAGAAGGAGAATGTGTGTGTGCTTGTGCACAAGCAGGGAAGGTGCAAAGGGAGAGGGAGAGCGAGAATCTTAAGGAGGCTCCGTGTTGATCTCATGACCCTGAGATCAAGAGTTAGACGCTTAACTGACTGAGCCACCCAGGTACCCCCAAATTGCCCATGTTCTAAAATGAGACCCATTCTATCACTTAGTCTGAGGTGTGGTACCATCCTAATTCCCAGGAGCTGGAGAGACTTCTTCAGGTTGTTTTGGTCATTCTTGGGACAATCATTACCCCACACACATTTTCACCAGAACATCCGGATGGAAAACCCCCAGATTTAACTGGAACAATTTGGCCAAGTTGGCATGGGTAAAACATCTGATAGGGTAAACACTGTATCCTGGCATCACTGTACGGCTCTGGGTAACCCTCAATTCCAGGACACTAAAGGCTTTGAGTCAGTTAAGAACAGACACCACAGTCCAGCCATACAAGGACAAGGAACAGGAACATTAAGGAAGGTTGAAACTGCCACTAATGAAAACCAACTGGCTGTGGAAACCTCTATAGTCATCCTGAGAAAAGCTCCACTGGTAAGAAAAAAATAAATCAGTTCTCTGTCCTTTTCACACTGAGCTGAAGAAACTACTTTATGGGGTAGTTCTGCAGGGTCCTTCTGTTTTGCATTTAAAAGAAAAGGAGTTGAAAATCAGAGTGAGAACAATACTTGAAGTATCAGATTTGCATTTCATTAGCTCCCCATATGGAGTGCAGAACTTCTTGCTTTTGAAATTGTATATATTTATGCTTCTCAACCCCCAGAGGCTGTCTGGACTAAACACTAGCTCTAATTCATAACAATTTTGGTTTCTCTTTATGTGTCCCACAAAGAGACTTGAGACTTTAATGGATAGTACTTAAGAAAATCTACCTGTCAACATACTGCCTTGCACGTGGCCTGCTGGAGCAGACAAAGAAACTGTACCCTTGGGGAAAGAAGAGAAGGGTACTCCGCCCCCTGGGACGGTGCTATAGGTTGCCGAGTTCTTAGTATCATCTGTCATCCACAGAATGAGTCGCTAATCTCTGTAATTTAAGGACCCTACCAATTCTAATGTTTTAATTGCTTTTAAGGCTTGGCAGTGTTCTGGTATGCTGGAGGGTGGCAACTTTTGAGACATCCACTTTAACTTTCTTTAAAAGGCAGGCAACAAACCAGCCATTTTAAAACAGTATTTAAGTCTACCTTGCTCCACTCAAGTATTTCAAAAATTTGCCAAGAGAACTGAAACATCCAGGCATAATTAAAATAAGTTAAGGATGGATGGCTAGATCAGCCTTAGCTCTGCTTCAGTGGATTTAAGCCAAATCCCCCTACTTTAAAGTAGCTTTTTGTGGTTTACTACACCCTGGCTGCCATGTTAAGTGAGCATCTGGAAAAAAAGAACGGCACAACACTTCATAAAAGTATATTTTAGGTGGGTTCATTTTGCAATATAAACCAGCTTCCAAATTTCTTTCTTTTTTGGGGGAAGGGAGAGGTCTGTTTTAGGGAATAAAGCAGAGTAAATTTTAAATTGCCACATGTCGCCTATATACACATCCAGTAAGTTGCTGCTCAATCTGCCTAGGGCCTGAGGTGGAGATTCTTAGTTTAAGGAACATCACGTCCATTCTACTCTCATCTCCAGTCTGTGTAAGGCAGGGTCCTCTCATGGCCTGGAGCTTCTGCTTCAAACTCACACCTTCCAGGCAGTCTGCTTCTGGGAGATCCAAGTGATCCTGGCCACTGAGGCTGTGAGTTCCATGTATAGGGCCTACACTTTCCTCCCCTGCTTAGCTTATGGGATAGGAAGGACCTTCCTTCCGACTCCTTTCTCTGCTCAGGGCAGGACTGTGGCAGGTGCCCTGACCAAAGGGTCCACTAACTCCTTCAGTGTGGGGATAAGGAAGAGCTTTTAAGGATAACCAAACACTGCAGACATATGGGCTCATTAAAATATCCCCCATGGAATACGCCACAGGCTTTTACTGTGGTGGAATCTGGTGAGAACACCGTGTTGCTGGGAATTAAATCCCTAGTTAGCACGGTAAGAAACAGAGACGGTTGGGGAGCCAGTCTTGGGGAATGAAATAAGTAAAAAAGAAAAAAGACGGTAAGTATGGAAAGGAAGGAAATCTTGACATCTACTTGGAAATATTCCTATTCATTGTCCCCGTGCACAAAACCAGTGTCTGGGTCTTACTGAGGGTTGTGTCTCTCTCAATTCTGTCTCTGGTCAGGTTGCACCTGGGCATAAGGAAGAGCCTCCTATCTAATGGCTGCCCTCCCCGCCAGCTCTCAACCCGTTCTCCAACTTGTCCTGCAAACCCTAGAGAGCAGACTTAAAACCTTATTAAAACAAACAACTTGCACTAATTCTTGATCTCATGGGCACAAACACAGGCCACTAACTGAACAACGACTGCATGCAGGTACCCTGTGGCTGCTTCACACACACTGGGTCTAACTCCCACACTGAGAGAGCCCACTGCAAGGCCAGTCTTCTCCTTATCTCCATTTTACAGATGAGGAGGGTATGGCCTCGCCCCGGCTGACCACTGACCAATGTAAGGCACCAGGCATGGATCCCAGGCTGTTTTGCCCAGCCTCATTCATTACGATTGATAATTGCTACAATTGCAGGGCTCTCCTAATTAGCCAACCTCTCGGACGCCTTTGGCTTCTATGCGCCTCCTCAGAACTCCTCCCATCCCCCTGTAATTGCTCTTTGAGGCCCTCTTTCTCTGGGGAGCCCTGTTGGTGTCCTCACTTGGCTGAACTCCTGGCTCCTTCAGGTGGGATCAGTCTAGGCCTGAGCTGTTCACAAGCCACCTCACCTAGGTCGTTTCTCTTCTCCAGTTAGCCACGAATTTTCAAAGGCGGCAGTGCTACCTCAAGTCATGGTCCGTTCTGTGGCACCCCATATAGTGCCAGGCAGATAAATGCTCCAAAGTCGTAACTCTAAGAAAAAAGCATCACACACACTTTCATAGATTTCTTCCTTCCTTACAGCCCCTAGCTCCTTTCATGTGTGGTAACACACTGCCAATGAGGAGGGGAGAATGAAAGCAAGGTGAACTGCTGACTGGTTAAACAACTAAATACAACCCAAATTAACACTAAATTTGCTTCATTTCTGTTACCTTTACCAGATAGCACATTATAGATCAGTCCTGTGCTTTCCTGACAAGAGTAAAACTATTGATCATGGAGCAGAAAAGCATGTGGGGCTGAATCCTCTGTGGGAAAGAAGGTTTTGGAACCTCATCCATAAGGTCTAATTATCATAAGGTCAACTGGGACTCAAAATTATGTACAATGCGCTTTTTAATTATGCTCGTTATAATAACACTCATTCATTAAATTGGATTTTAATAGATAATTTAATAGGCATAGGGCAATTTCTTAAAATTATCTTCTGTAGAGTTTAGATTCACTCAAGTTCTAAGTAACTTTAGGCTCTGACACTTTTGAGGTAACAAGAAAATTGTGTGCCACAAATATGAAATAATTCCTTCAATAATGGCATCGGAAATTTGCCAGAAAGAGCTCTAACCTCATCTATAACCAGTGTTAGTGTTATTATCCTCATTGACATCTCATGCTGAGAATAATCTGTCTATGAGGAACTAGGTCACAGATTTTAATCCTATGAGCACTTAAGTACTATAGAAATTCACAGTGATAGCTTCCTTTGTCAAGTTGTCTAAAAGTGTTCCTCTAGATTGCAAAAGCACAAAATACAGGCAGAAATTCTAGGATCTAAGGGGAAAAAAAACTTCCCCAAATTTTCACTTACTGTCACTATTAAGAATGTGACTTGTTGGGGTACCTGGGTGGCTCAGTTGGTTAAGTCTGCTTTCAGCTCAGTTTATGATCTGAAACTGGGAGGGAGCCCCACCTGCTAGGTGGGGAGTCTACTTTTCCCTCTGCCATTCCCCCTGCTTATACTCTCTCTCTGTCAAATAAAATCTTGAAAAAAAAATGTGGCTTGTAAAAAGAAACTATAATAAAATGAATTATACATAGTATAGAAGAAAAGTAAGTAGTCCTTCAGATTATTTCATTGGTATCTTCCTGAGCATGTGTTCAGGAAGAAAAAGTGGGGCTAAGTACAGGGCCTGGCCATTTACACAGCTTCCAGCCAAAGGCAGAAATGAAATGCTAACAGGATGGTTCATGTTACCTTACTAGTTGTATTAAAATTCAGGGATCTCACTCAGCTTCAATTTCTCTTTGACTAAAAGGAACATTTGCTCTCTGAAGTAATATATATCTGACTAATAATCAAGTTCCATGCTGTAAACCAAGCAGCAGTCCTTTGTGTTAAAAGAAACTCACTGTAAGACCATCTAAAAAATAAAGACTGCTGGGACACTCAGGTAAGTGTCCGATTTCAGCTCAGATTCTGATCTCAGGGTCTTGAGATCGAGCCCCACACTGGGCTTGGTGCTCAGTGCAGAGTGTGCTTGAGATTCTCTCCCTCCTCCTCTGCCTCTGCCCCTCCCCTGGCTTGTACTCTCTAAATAAATAAAAAATAAAGAATGCCACTTTTACTCTTTACTTTCCCTGAAAGAGAAGCTACCTTATACCAACTTTAATACATATACAACATTCTTTCTAGAATGGGATCAATGGGATTTCTACTTAATGCTCCCAAATTCTGGATCTTCATTTACCTCATAAGCATTAGGTATCTGCCTGACATAAAAGTCTGTTTTTGAGAAAAGAATAAATTAGATACAGAAAAGCTACTTGAAATGCCCAGGATGACCTGACACAGTGCCCGAAGCTACAAGCAGATTCCACCCTCCCAAATTTCCTTTTTCTTTTCAAGTTTCAAGGCTGTGATGGTTCACTAATTATGAGAAAGATTTCTGAGCAGGGCTGAAATGGATAAATTAGCATTTCACTAAGGTTTGAGATTTACATATCTTTTTAGTCATAAAAATGTTCAAAAAGAGCATGAAATCATAAACCCGACGCATAAAAAGGTGATTTAGAAAAGCAAAATAAAACAAAGAGCTTTCATTGTTGCTGCTGATTCTGTGACAGTGCTACTCAACAGTCAAAATATCTCTAAAGCCAGGAAATATAAATAAAGGTAAAGTCCAGTTTACAGGCTCTCTGGAAAAATAAACAAAACAAAACATTGATTTGGGATGTTCTGCTCTTTAACTTTAGGAGTCTGTAGAAGTTAAACTCCAAGAAAGCAAGGATCCAGCTCTGATACATTCCACTCAGGGAAAGTAGGGGCCATGAATTCTCCTCACCGTAGACAGAAGAGAGAATCCAAAGAACTGAATCTCAGCAGAGTCTGATGAAAAGAACAAGTATAAACACATGGTTTGGAGCCACAGTATAGAAAAGTTGGTCCTACCAGAAATATTTATTCAGCATCAACAATACCTCGATAGAAGGATGTTGCAATTCTGAGCTCTCCGACCATCAATCACCGAAAGCTCTTTGACTTTAAGTTTGGAACTCAGTGTGTCATCAATGGCATCTGCTTCTTTCTATAAAGAGCATGAAAGAAATCCATCAAAGTCAAATAGGGACATTCCGACTTCAGACACACACTCTTCCTTTATGTTTTTTGTTTGCGCGCGCGCGCGCGCACACACACACACACACACACACACACACACACAGGCGAAGCTGAGATGACAAGGGAGGGAGGACAGGGAGGTGGTGGAATTGAAACGAAGGGCTAAAATCTAGTTGACAAAGGGAAATAGTAAGAAAAGCTGACCACCCACATTTGAAAAAGCATTTTTGGAAGAACAAAGCGCATCTAAGTTGAAGATGCTAAGCGTGCATAAATTATCAGTGAGTGGTGCTCTCCTTTTGTCCCCCAAATCCCTATGGACAGCAGACAGAAGAACTGTCACTATGAATCAAGCTCGGCCGAGGCTTGCCATTGCCAGTCTGGCCATTTGCAGGGCCCATTCACTCCAGAACCATTTGCATCCTGAGCACTCAAAAAGCTGAACAATAAATCCTCCCAAACATCCTCATGTGCAACAGGAAGCTCCCAAGTCCAGATGGTACCTTTCATTACCCTGGAGTCTGATGGATAACAGGGCAGTTCAAGGCATTAGTTCAATTACTTGAATTAACAACAAAACACTATTTGCATACTCTGCTGCTGTACAAAAAGCTATAAGCAATGATGACCAGTCATAATTTATGGTGGAAGAGGCATAAAACAGTGATATATAAAATACTATTTGAGTAAACTGGGCATCAAGGTGAAAATACAAACTTGATAAATAGCAAGTTTAATTTTATTAAAGGTCAGAATCAATTTTAAAAATGGATCATGGAATTTTTAAAATATAAGAAAACCAAAGAGCTCTGGAACTGTGTAACAGCTTAGGAAAACAAAGACAATATGGAGTTTTTAGTAAGAAACATCATGTGATCAAACTTCACCTATCTCCTGTCATGCTGAGATTTCAGGCAGACCTCTAAATGTCAGCTAAGAGTTGAAATCCAACTCGGAGTTACCTAAGCACTACATTACACTATCTTGAAAAAAAAAAAGGGGGGATCAGCAAGACATTTTGAGCTTGACAGTGAGCCAAGAAGTTATATTAAGCAAGGTTTAGGTAGTTGCTCACTTACCTGCTTGGAGTTACTGTTCACAAAGAAATCCTACAGCCATGGCAGAGGCATGGAAAAGGCAAATCAGACACATGTAGTTCAGAAATCACAGCAATAAGTGGGAGAAAGTCAAAGTAGTCAAGGAAATCAGTGACACAGGGTAAGAGAGGATTTATGTCCCAAGGATCAGCAATGAGAGTTGATGAAGATGGGAGAGGCTGGCTGAAGATACAAGAGCACAGAACTAAGCATTCTGGGGAGAGAGAGATGACATGTGCTGTACACAATTTTCAATGGGGACAAATCAAATTCAGAGAAGAAAGGATTTAGAACACCCCACAAAAGACTCAAGTTGGGAACAGAAAAAATTCTCTTTGAAAGAGAAATGGGCTCCATTTATTCAACATGACAATTTTCACTTGAAGCAGAAAAATATCAATCAATTCCAACATCTTGACGAAACTACTCCTACAGTCATGTTCTACCAGCAAAACATGCTTTTGGGGAAGGAGGGAGAGGTTGAAATAAATTCCTGTCTTCTTGTGACATAAGGAGGGATTAAGAAAATACAAAAGACAAGTTCAACAATGTAGGTTGGTAATATTAACTCTCAGCATCCCTTGAGAGTCCAAACAATGCATGGCAGCACTATGGATAGGTATGAGTAGAAAGATAGAACATGCAATTAAGAGACAATAAGTGATCATGTTGTGTGCAACCCCTTGGTGGCCCTGTCCCAACTGCCTCATAGCTATTCAAGCATGTAAGGTCAGCAGCCTCTTCCTAAAATACTCCGAAAAAGACTTGGAGTGAAGAAGAGAAAGAAGAAGAAGTAATTGGCATGTTAAGAGAAAGTTACAGTTTTCTTTACATATTTTTGTCATGCTGGAATGAGTAAAGCTTTGGTGTGCAAAATACACCCCAGCTTTCAGGCCAACTGCTTGTACAACCAGCAGTTGCTCAGCAGATTCCTTAAGTCCTCATTGGCCCTGGCAGCACTGCCAAAGCCAATTTTACACAGATGAGCTGTTTCACATCATTCTTCCAGTGAGAAACAAAACGTGTCCCTCTTTTGCTCTACCCATACAAGGAGGGATAGCTTTTCTAGAATGGCATTTCAAAATAAACTGATAACCACAGGAAATCTTTCTTCTTCTCTAATGCCAGTTTTCTTTCATCCTGGTTGTAATAACCACATTTTCTACTCTGAAACTCCTTAGGACACTTCCCTATAAATGCACTCTCTCCTCTAAAGGGCAGAAAAGGCTAAGATGATGTGAATTCCAGGAGGTCATCCTATCCTACTTTTCTCTCTTAAAAAGTTGCTAGTTGAATTTAGATCCAGCTCTTACTATCCGGCCTTCAAAGAAGAAACTTCTATGAAGTTCTCTAGCAACTTATTCTCCATAAGTTTCACTGTCAGAAAATTAAGACTTCTGACCTTTACTATAGTGGACTATGGAATTAGGCAACTACCATTTATTAGATGTGAGGCTTGGAGCTCAGTCTTACTATCTGCACAATGGAATCAACAACTGGATTATTATTATGACAATTAAACAAGATGATTCATGTAAAGCATTTTGTACAGTATCTGACACATATTTATGAGCTCAATACTTGGAAGCTATCATACAATATAATTATCTTTGAAGCTGATGATCAAGTCCATTTTTCCTCCTTTTGCTCTCTTCTCTTTTTCAGGGAGTTGAAGAAGAGCTGCTCAAGATCTCCCATTTGTTACCAGCAGCAGCAATGAGTCTAACAGTTAATAGCTAAGCAATGTATATTATCTTTCCAGAGGTGAGGATGAGGAATGCTATGGGAGAGTATGGGTGTTAGCCTTGTGATTTCCTTTAAGGGTCCTTTAACCAACACATTTTAAATAAAATCACAAAGCTTATTTAGATGGGGCATGTTAAAAACGATGATGCTCCCAGGCCTCTTTCAAATAAGTTATCATTCTTTTTGAAAATTTAAATTATTCACTAATTGGTTTGGGCCAAACACCACAGGATCAGCTATATTTGGCTCCACCTAACAGTATGTCTGATTTTTCCAGGGGATTTTTGGTATAGAGCTTTGGTAAGGGGATCCCTGGGTGGCTCAAGGGCTTAGCGCCTGCCTTTGGCCCACAACGTGATCCTGGAGTCCCGGGATCAAGTCCCACATCGGGCTCCCTGCATGGAGCCTGCTTCTCCCTCTGCCTATGTCTCTGCCTCTCTCTCTCTCTCTCTCTCTTTCTGCGAGTCTCTCATGAATAAATAAATAAAATCTCTCTCTAAAAAAAAAAAAAAGAGCTTTGGTAAATAGAAAGTTGGGACTTGTATTTTTTAGGAGCCAATGATGATAGATTCTTAGAGATAAGGTTCTGCAATGACATGATGATTCAACATTTCACAGAAAATAATAATCCTTACCTGAAGTTTTTAATCTTTTTGAGGTTGAGGTCCCTTTGTAAATCTGATAAAAGCTAGGGATCCCTCTCCAAAAAAATGCATACCATTCATACAGATACATACTGTTTATACAAAATCCTGCTTTTAATTAACTCTTAGCAATTACAGAATCTCTTATACTTTGGTTTAAGAAAAACCTTCATTCATAATTTTCTCTTCTTTCTTCATGTGCCATAGCTGACGGCCAAGATTATTGAAATAAATATCCTAATTCATAATTTTTCAGTGTGAAATCTAGATCAACAAAATAATGAAAATGTAAAAAAGAATAAGAAAGAAAAATTATTTGACCGTTTATAAAGAAAAAAAAATCAGAAGATAGCATTGAAGAGTTCCAAATGAGAGTCTAAGGATGTCTTGTTTATTACATATTAGTAGGAGAGGTCAGATTCTGGAGCCTGGGATAACAGTTATCCTTTGTTTCCTAAATCAGAGCAGAGAGGTTTTCAAATGTTATACTATATGCAGATAATAGGGACCTGTAAAGAAGGAGTATCCTCAAAGAACTGGGGGAAGGAATGGTGATACAACTGTTAATTTATTGATACAAAGATATGACTCCCTCTAGGTAAAAGTAAAATTCATTTTCCTCTATCCAACTGCATGGGTAAGGAGAATGAATTTATAAAATCTCAACATGAAAATTTCCCACAAAACCAAAATGAATATTGTTTAGCTCTATCTGAAATACTACTACTACTATGCAATGCACATTATGCATTAAAACAAGTCTTTTGTGGTTGACCTGGAAATCACGCATAATATAGTTTCAACAAGAAAAAGACGTTCTGAGATTCAAGAAATTGACTTTCAAATGAACTTCTGGAGTGTAAGCAGGGGAATAACTGCACACTATTAAATTCCATTTCATGTGGCACATAAGCTTACATAATCAGCCCTGGAAACCTTTGATATCTACACCAAAAAAAAAAAAAAAATCCTGAATAGAAATGGCCTTATTCTTAAAACTGTAGTGTAGAAAATCCTTACAAAGCCTGACCTTCATAATGAACAAGACCATAACTCCTAAGAACAAAGTGAAACTGAGAATTTATGCCACTTGGTAACCTGTCTGTGCACCTGTTCAGACACTGAATATATACTAAGCCATATTTCTATTATTGATGAGATACGAATACCACCTCATAGAGCTGGTATGAGGATTAAATAAAAAAGTACAAGAGTGCCTTGAAAACTAAATTTTGGGGACACCTGGGTGGCTCAGGGGTTTAGCGCCTGCCTTCAGCCTAGGGCGTGATCCTGGAGTCCTGGAATCGAGTCCCATGTCTGGCTCCCTGCGTGGAGCCTGCTTCTCCCTCTGCCTGTGTCTCTGCCTCTCTTTCTCTCTCTCTCTCTGTCTCTCTCTTTCTCTGTGTCTCTCATGAACAAATAAATAAAATCTTAAAAAGAAATTTTGGGGATGAGGATTGGGAATGTGTATTTTGCACTCAGCACCAAAAATATAATGGTTAATGTTATCATTTTTTAGTCTATATCCTGGTTATTTGCAGATTGTCCTCTTTGCTTTTATACTGTAAATTGCATTGTAAGCCTGTGTAACAGCTTAATACATTTGCAACCTCTAAAGTATTTCATAATCAAGGTGGACATTATAAATACGTTTTGATTTTAATGATGAAATATTTCTCAGATCAACTGGGCATATTTTGTGTATGTGTACGTATTTACATAAAATCTCTCCTAAATATCACTAATCAGTGTTCACCTAAATTTTACTAATCTCATATCTGAGATTTTGCTCAACGTCTGACTCAGTGTAGTGTTCTTGTTATAGGCGGGTAATGGTATTCATGCGTTCTTTTGCCTCTCTGAGAAACTAACTTGTTCAAACAACTGGTTTAAGTTCAGCCAGTTTGACCAGGGTTTTATAACTGGAGGGAAAAAAGAGGAGATAACCATAGGAAAAAAAAATAGGTTCTCAGTATTCATTTGGGAGTGGAAAAGAGAGCAGTTCAAGTGTGGTGATAATTAGGTAGTGCATTGCCAAGACTGAAATGAAAATGCACAGTCTTAGACGTTGCCATTAGATATGAGACTAGGGAGCATTCAATGACAGGCACCCATTTTCTCTACTTTGTCCTACATATTCCTACTAGAATGTCTGCATCTTTAGATTTTTTTGCCTCTCAACATTCAATAAACTCAATAAGATGGCTCATATTACCTTCATTTGGGAAATATATCTATGGTTTAAAAACCTCATCTCAAATTCTTGCACCAAGAGGGGAAACATACTTCAATTAAGCTGAGCCAAGTGTGTTGAAATTCTTTTCCAGGAAGTGCTATTGAAAATGTCACAAATGATTCTACTGACCAGTCTACTTAGTGTTAAGTACAACTGAAACGTTCTGGTCTATCCTGCCTGGAATGACTACTGAAACAGTGACTGGTTGCTAGGAGACAATTACCCAATTGCTAGGCTTTGCCTAACTGTCTCCTAGAGCTCTTGAGAACTGTCCACATACTTGTCCCAGAGCATTTTGGCAGCATCCTTCTGCACCTTCTGCTGAAGGCCAGTTAATTATGAGTCTTGTAAACTTGGGTCTTTTAACCACCTGCCTTCATAATAAATGTAGCCTACATGCTCAGACTTGAATAGCATCATTTGGAATAACTGCTGTTTTCTCTTTCTTCCATATACTTTTCTGAGTTCCCAAACCTTCACCTTAGGTAACCAGAATGGACCAGTATTAGTGACCAAAATCGAAGTGGGAAAGCAACTGATGTGTCATGAGGTCAGAAGATTATTTGCATCTATCAGGAAATTTGCTAACATATCCTATGACTTCATGTCAAGACCCAGAGAACACCTTCCTGGGTCAGCAGAGAGAGAAGATCCATCGCAGCCAAGCAGGAAGTGTTTGAACCCAGCATCTGCCATATGAGACACCTAAAATATACCCTTTGTTTGTCCTTTGAAAGATAAAGTGTCTTGCTTTCTCCTGGGTGTGTCTTATCTTTTTTTTCTTTGTTTTCCTTTATTTTGTATGTACAACACTGCTTCATACTTATGAGATGGGGGAGGTTCCAGCTGAGGGTTCCTGTTTTAGTGTCATGCTACCACAGCAGACAACCACCTGCATTTTTGTACTTTACTAACATAGCGTAAAATGCACTGCAGAGAAGCTCTCCCTCACTCAGCGAAAATATTCTGGCTAAAAGACATACACTACATTTTCTTTTCAATTTCGGATATATTGAAGGCTTTGAAAGAAAAACCCATCAGTTTTTGTTTCTCCCCAGCCTCAGCCCATGTTCTCCTTAGTGCTTGCTCATTCAGTTCTAAGACATTCTTTCTTGGGAACCAGACCCAGTCTAAGCAGACTAAGAAGTGCAGCTTGTCTGAGGATGCTCTCTCTGGGCATGAGGACTCAGGCAGGTGTTAAAGACCTCTCAGTGAAGTCCAAGAAAAGCACCTGTGCAGATGCTTGGCATCCACGCATTCCTACTAAGATGTGCTGTGTTCTCAGCAGCATCTCTTCAGTCATCCTGAAGGATCTTTTTGCTCACACTCCAGGACATAAATGTTGCTCTTTCCCAGGTGTCTGATTGACTGAGATCCTACCTCACCTTTTCTTGTTTTTCTGATATCCTTTGTACCCAGCCACCTTGCTGTGACCCTCTTCTGGTCCACTGTTAGAAGGATCTACTAAGATGGCCTCTTAAAGGAGTAAGAGGTACCACTCAGATATGACCAGGGCTTACAGCATAATACTCACTACCTGGCCACATCAACATGGAGAGTCAGCAAGCATTGAGTATCACTAGAATTCTCACTAGTATCACAAACACTTTGTTCATATTTCAGAAGCTTCTCTGGTCCTATGTGTATTAGTTGCATCCCCCACTTACTCAGCCTTCCCAATCCCACTTCTGAACCTATTGTGTTCATGACATACAGTAAAAACTCCTCTCTAAGGTTCCAGCTAGTTGACAAATTATAGTTATTTACAAATTTCTGTGCTTATTAAAAAAAAAAAAACAAATTTCTGTGCTTCTAAAGGTTCCATCTATTTCAAAAAGCAGTCTACTTCTGATAATAACCACTAGATTTATATAATATATATACAAGTATATATATGTGACATATATACATATACATACATATATATGTGTGTGTGTGTGTGTGTGTATAGATAATCTAAAATGGCTTGAGAAACAAACCCTATGAGGAAACAACACAAGTTAAGTGCCTCTCCAACTAATATTTTCTTCTGGTGACCCCTCTGGACTAAGCATAAGTGATAATAATATACAGAACTCCCTTCACTAATGGCAATAAGGTCTCAAACACACATCAGGGTATGTGGCTTAACACATTCATACACATAACTGACGGGCATCTAGACACACATGTAAACACACACACAACACGCTGTTTTGCAGGAATATACCAGGGTAGACACAGATAGCCTAGAACTAAGATGCCGATCACATCATGGTGTGGCAGATGGCCCAGGGACTGTGCACAGGACATGATTTAAAAAAAATTTTTTTTTAGCATCCTGGAGAGCACATATGGTTACCTGCTGTCTTTGGTAGGCAGAGAAAGTTCTTTCCAGGTCTTCAAGATCTAGAATTTTGAAGACCTTTGAATCATCAATTTCGGTCCATACTGTTCCTTCCAGTTTATTCTGCAAATATCAAATTAATAAGTGCTAGAGTTTATAGTTATACATAAAAAGAACAGACGTGGTTATTTTTTTCAGAAGTGCTGCTCTCCTCAATTTTTCATTCTACCAGATGCTCAAAGTGGGCTGGCTTCAAACAACATGTCATTTATTTCAGCTTTGTCAAGTAAATATCTGAGCTAGTGAGAACCCGAGTCCATACTAGAAAATGAAATCATTTAACAGCCAGGGCTGTTTCCCTTTTCAGTGACAACATAGTGAGCTGCTAATGCTATCCATTAGAAGGAAAATTAGAACAAATGGCTTACCTCAGGCAGCTTGGACCAGTTGAAGGATTTCAGGGCATTTGTGGGCTGAGGAATGTTTTTCTTCTTGAGTGCCAGACCCAGTGGAGCACCAGGAGGTGGCATGATCCCCCCTAATGGAGGAGGCCCGGGGGGAGGAGGAGGGCCACCTGGAGGAAGGGGAGGGGGCGGAGGAGGAAGCATTCCACCTGGCAGGGGTGGAGGTGGTGGGGGTGGAAGGAGGGACCCTGGTACAGAGGAAGGAAAGGGCCCCCCTGGGGCTCCAGGTGAGGGTCCACCGGGGACCGAAGCACAGACAGCTCTCTGAAAAGGTAAAAATAGGACAAGAGAAGGTCAGTGGAAGAAGTAAATTCACTGGATGATTCTGCGAGTCTGCAACTCTGCCTAAAATGTATGCTGCAGAGAAATCGACATTTCTGAGAAGATGGGTATAAAGGGGCAGTAAATCAATGGACTTTAGGGCCTTCATGAACTACTGAGTCAGTCCTTTGTATTTGGAAGCTCAGTGCTTGTTTGTAAAGCATTTATTCACATATCTCTTACTTCTTGTAACATCGTGGTTTGTTTTTCACAAGATCAGTTTTCATTTCAAGAAATCAATGTAATTCCCTTTGCTTGCTCCGATTAGAGGATCTGTACTAAAAATGCACACTCCCACATCGCCTCTGCTGCCTAACCTACATGACAGCAAAGGGAGCGAGTCTTATAACCACTGTGATAAATCACAAAGACTTATATCCCCAGGCAGAAGCTGTCTGCCTAAGGTGAGGGGCTCCAGGGTAAGTGAGGCCTCGGCAGCTGCCCAGAAATAGAAGACCCAGCCCGTGGCCCCGGCCCTCACCCTGCTGAGCTCGTGGAGCTGTGCTGTGAGATCTGCCACCTGCTGCTTGACTTGCTTATGCTCACTGGTCTCCTTTTCAAGTTTCTCTTTCATTTTATTTAAGGTCTGCATCATCTCTTCCTTCTCTTGGGTCTTGGCATCACATTCGCGCTCTTTCTTTTCCAATTTCTGTTGTAACTCATTGTGCTCTACACAAGAAAACAATGGGACATGAAAATAGGGGACTCTTCAAAGCTGAAGTGCTTTCTCTAAACAGAAAATTGGCTGAGGATGATTGTGAGGCTCTTTATTAGGTAAATATTATTTCTCTGTTCCATCAAAGGGAACGACTTGTGGGCTCAGGGGTGTTTGTGCTTGGAGGGGTCCTTAGATGAACAGCATTATTAGCTACATTTTGTAAAATACCAAAAAAGAGATCCTAAAGTCACAGTTCCAAAGATGCACACAGTGTGAGCACCTATTTGTGGAAGAGAATGGTGCCTATTTGGTACTTAGCTCAGGATCCTGTCATAAAAATGCCCCTTTAACCACTCTAGGGAAAACAAATATTAAAAGGGCCTCTTTTCACAAATTAGAAATGAGAACTAGAGAAGCCACTGTTTATTAGCTAGGTTTCTGGCTCGTGTCCAATGAGCACAGGACTGAAAGGGAGGATCTTGCTCTGTGAGGAAATGCTGATGCCAGATCGCGTCTGTCCCAACATGGAGTCCTTTCTCCCATTCTACTCTCAGAAGGCTACTTGGGACTTGAACTATCTCATGCTTCTGGCAAATAACTCTTAAAACTTGTGAAAGCAAAGGTTATCATCTCAGCATTAAAAACCTTAAGGGCAGAGCATAAGAATCACTATAATCTGGGGAGAAAATATTAGCTCTCAGCTGTAATTTTACTGACTTCCCAATCCTGCTCTAATGGAACAAGGCATCCAATTTAGCCTAATGCTTATTTACACTGCCAATATGCCTACAGACTCCAGCCCTCACAGGAGTGAGAGAGGCTTTGGGAAAGAGGACAAATGAATTTTAGGCTGCAGATTTTTATTTCAAATACTTGGCCCCAATTCCTACTCTTTTTATATAGTAAACCCGCTAGAGATATAATCCACTGGGGCAGAGCTACACAGAATTATTAGTCTCTATTTCTGAATCTGATAACACATTTAGATTCTTGTTTTCTCCGTCTCTTACTTTCTCTCTTCTGAGTCCCCCCAAATCAGCTTACGGAAAAAAGTTCAAGCCATTAAAAGCCTTGAAGTTAAGATAACCATCAATCCACTTCTGCTTTGCAAATGTGTCCCCGACTTCTTCAGATATTTGTCTAAAAAGTACCTTACTGCACCCCATTTTCCTTCTTTTAGCTCCACTTCACTTCTCTTCCACAATTGTTAAGACTTGCCTCTTATGGTCATGAAGCTTTGACAAATCCAGCTGTGCCTCAGAACCACCTGAGAGATTTTAATATCTTGGGAGTCTGTTCTATGGGGGATGCAGGGGGCGGGGGGATGGGTTGGAGAACAGGCCTTAGGAATTTGTTTTCAGATGCTCCTTAGAAAATTCTGATGTAATACCAGGTCTGGGAAGCTGCTGTCAAAGGATTCTCTCCACAAAGGACATCCATTTATCTCCACCTTTCAGGGTCCAAAGAACTTCCTATCTCCTCATAGCCTTCACCCTCTAGTTCATCAACATGTGCCCTCTATAATAATACAGCCTTGCTACTTGAAGCTTTCAGAAAAGAATTTTTTATAGATAATTAATTAATTATCTATAATACCCCCTCCTTTATACTCCCCCTGTGACCTCACTTTAAACAATCCTGTTCTGCCCTACTGACCTTGGCCATTGTCTCTTGTACCACCTCAGCCACCCGAATCCTACCATAGTCCCTATCATTTACTAGGCAACTGGTATGTGACAGGCACTGTGTTAGAGTCTTTAAATTTGTTCTGTCATTTAATCTTTGCAACAACCCTGTGAGTTAGACGTGATCTTCATCTTAGGAGAAGAGTGGAGAAGAGAATGTGACTGCCTATGCACACACAAAGAGCCCAGCATAGTACCTAATGCATACAGGTATTTGACAAGCATCCACTGAAAAAATGACTGAAGGACTCTGAAGCTTCTTTCCTGTGTACTCTACTCCACTTGCACATCTTAATCCTCATGCTCTAGACTATACTCCTTAAGTATCACCCGATCATTTTCTCTTTGTTATCATCTCTTCACCCCAAACTTTATAGTCAGTGTTTCTCTTCTTTCTATAGCAGCTTCTGGAATCTATTAATAAAAATGTATGTGGCAACCTCACCAATGTGAGAACAATCTGAATTCACGTGAGGGACTTGTAAGTATGCTTCATGTTTGGCAGTTTCCACTATCGGTGGCCTGGCTTTTCTGCTCAATGGAAAAGGACAAATATGACAAGGGAAAAGGAAATGCTCTGGCATCTCTTGGACCCTCTTTTCAACACACTGACTATCGGGGTGAGTGCTATTGTGTTTCACTGGCTGTGGCTAAATAACTTGGACAAGGAAAAGGAAGTCAGTTAACCAGCAGAGAGAAAGAGCAGAGGCCAGGAATAGGACTGTTTTCACAAAAGGACCAACTTTAAGTTACTGGTATTTTGAAGGAAACATATCCACTCTCTGAGAGGCTGGCACAGTGATGGGCACAAATGACCCTCCTGTCATCTGATGCTGAGTCTTAATACCAAAGACATGTTCAAATACTCACCAAGAGCTGGTGTACGAATGCATCTATCTACAACAGTGAGTGATTTTCTAGATGATTTTTCTTTTTATAAGTGGTGCCAAATTAAGGTCACGTGGAGGATGGGGCTGCTGAATCAACTGGCCTGGGTTTTTCTTTTAAAATTCTGGTCATTCATGATGTTCTTTATTAGATATCTTAAAACCTAGTGTGATTTAAAGAGCAGTTATGGGGCAGGGGGGGAGGGCTGGAAGGAGTGGCAGTTAAGAAAATTTGAATTTATGAATACCAAAAAGCAAATGCTATAAGGTCTTCCAAAAAATTTACATAATTATAATAAAAGGATAAAATATTTGGCAGTCGGTATGACAACTAAAATAGCTTCATTTAAGAGAAAAGAGGGCAAAAATGCCTTTATGACATAGAAAAAACTAATGCACTAAAGTCAGTAAGAAGTATCAGCACAAATTTCTAAAATATGCAGAGCAGAGTTGCCCAATAACCAGTAACATGCCCCCTTGTCAGGGCCTCATTATTTACCTTTTCTCATCTTTTCTGCTTGTTCTTTCCACTGCTTAACTTCATTTTCATTAACCAACCTGTATAATAGTTAAAGGAGTATTCATTATAAAAAACATAAAAGGCCCATTGCCAAAATACACGCTCTCTAGGTACAAAAAATAGTCCAATGCGGAGAAAATCCTCAACATGCTTGAAAACCATTTAAACTCAGAGGTCACTGAGATATATTACATATGTATATGGAGGAACTCATGTTTGGCCTCTAGAACATTTCAGTTCTCTCAGCTGCTACTTTAAAGTAGAATACAATAAATGTCTTACACGGTGACTATTACCTCACAGACAGCGAAATAAGAAACTTACATCCGTACAACATTCTTTATGTTAAAGTTTTCCAAAGGTGTGGTGTCGGGGTCCTGTCCTTTGTCATTCTGAATAACTATTTGCTGTACGATTCTATCTAGCAGTAGCCAATACTGAACGGTGTTGCCACTTCTCTTGTCTAAAAAAGAAAAGAATTATAGAAAAACACTTCAAGTTGTTTCTAAACTAGGTTGAGTATTTTTCAATAGCAGTCATCCACCAGAGCCACAGAACCAGAGATGTTTACAACATTTGCACTAGTACTTCTCATAGCCTCTGGAATTCTGACATGCAATGATCATTTATGTGACTGAGAGGCACTTTCTACCCCTTTCGAAATGTGTTGCAAGGCATATATTTATTTTTAAAATCAAAGTAGGTGATAATTCATTTCTTTTTTGGAATGTCACAATACCCCCTGAGCTGTGTGGAAACACTTTGGACTGTCATAAAACCAAGGTCTGGAATCCCTGGTGTGCACCCAACCTAATCAGCACTATTCAGAAGACACAGCCTTTTGGATGATCTCCAAACATTCAAAAGCACACATGTAAGTCACAAACACACTCACAAGGCATTTGGAGGCAGTGGTGCAGGATGGACATGAAGTGAGGGTAAGCTTCACTATGGGTCAGCCTCTTCCTGGTCAGCTCAAACATCTGAGTCGCACTTTTTGTGTCTATGTGAACCTATTCCATATGAAAAAGAAATCTAAGTCAAACACCCAATATCCTCAATACCTGCAATGCAAGCAAATCCAAGGCAAACAGAGCTAATCCTGCCACTTAGGTAGCAAAACAGAACTTTTGATTTTGCTCTTTGGTTATACCCAGTCCATGTCAACTTAACACATGTTACACCAGGGAAATTCCATGAGTTGATGAGTTAAATCACAGTAATTGTGAGCATACATACCAGTTCAAATCTTTTGGCAAATTCTAGCTCATCTTCATTTCGGAGCATTTCAAAAAAATCTAAATGCCTGAAATCCAATAAAAGAGAAACTATTAAAAGTAGGACATACTCTAAACACAAGCACGTAGGAATCAGGACGTTAATACTAAGGCTTTTCCTAAATATTCAGAGATTTTTCTAAAAGAAATAAGACAACAAAATTTGAATGCCTTTGCTTAACTATGTTCTAAGGAAAAAGACATACTCTGACTGAAATAACAATAAGAGACAAACTTAAAAGCCTAGGATTCCTAGTACATAGTAGACAATTAATAAAGGACTATCAAACTCAAAACCATCAAGTCCAGATTCCGCTCACAGACTCCATTTATGGAAAAACCTACCCATATATCTACACTTGCCTGACTGATTAATTAAGACCACAAAATAAATATTCACACCATTAACCTATTCATTTAAATATTTATTGAGCCCCTTCTATGTATTTTAGACACTAGGGATGATAAGTTCTATGAAGACAAATACATCAGGGTAAAGGCAAAAGAGAATGAGGGGAGGTGAGGTGAGTTGTGTATACACACTGGCTGGAAAAGGTCTGACAGGTATAAGGGAATAAGAAATTTGGACATCTGTAGGAAGATCTTTGAGTGCTGAGAAAAACAGCAAATGCAAAGGCCCTGGGGCAACAGTATTTTAACATGTTCATACAATACTAAGGAGAAGAGCATGTCAGAGTATATGAATGAGGGAGAAGAATGATGGAAGGAAAGATCTGAGAGCTAGTGAGATATCTTAGAAGTAGTAAAATGATTGCAAACAAGTGCAAATGAATAAGAAAGTGAAAATTCACATTCATAGAATGCCTATCAAAGGTGCCAAGTGATTCTTCTTTATAGTCAATCTTTCTAACCACTCATAAAAGATAGTTGTCATCATTATTATCACTACATCACTATTTCTCAAAAAAACAAACAAACAAAAAAAAAACCCCAAAAAACAAAACAGTTAAGATTCAGAAAAATTGAGTAACTCGACCAGAATTCATAGCAGGTTAAGATGTAGGACAAGGATGTGGATTCAGTATGATGCCAGAACCCACATTAAGTTCTCTGTACAATGTGCTGCTTTTTTCACTGAGAAAGTCTTACATAAAAGCACCATTAGTTGAACTAGTATTCAGGGGCCAGCGCCTTATGTTACAGAAAGTTCACAAGCACACACAAATGGAAAAAGCATGAACTACCTCAGATGATAACAGTTTGACTTACCTATCTAATGTTGAATTTTCATGTTCCCTTAGTTTATCTATTACAGGTTGAATTCCTAACATCAGAAATTCATAGCGAAGATGAAGTCTAAAGTCCAAACTTTCCTGAAAGTGAGAGGGTAATAAAATACATATTTGTGCTTTTTGGACTAGACCGAAATCTTTTTAAAAAAGATTATTCTTTAATACTACATGTTTTCAACAGCGGTACAGAAGGTCCTTACCACTCCCGCGCCTTGGCTTAGCACTGCATTGATGAAGGACATGATGGCAGTCTTGAGACTCACTTCATCTCGATACCGCCCTGTGCTTTTATCCAAGTCATTAATTAATGTCTACCAAGGATACAAATATAAAAACAAAGGATTGAATCATTACCAATCTTAAAGTCATTTTATTAATTTTTATAACTCAGAAGTAAATTTTTAAAATTTTGTGTTTAGTCAGGATTACATGGATCCAAAGAAAGCCATCTTTTATTTTTCTTAAAATTAGTTCAAAAAACTCTTTCAAAATTCCTACCATTACATATGTTCATTTATACATGTATACAAATAACAAAAGACTGTGCTTTGTTGACTTGGCTTACTTTTTATATCTGAGTATAAATATGGTGACATAATCTCACTGTTTATATTGATAGTAAATTAAGAATGGTAACCTGTAAAATTTTCAGGGAATGCTACATTTAGTGGATTTGAAAGATATGTGCTATGTAATGTTTAGGAAGCAGACCACATTTTCAAAATTCAGTAAATCTAAAATCCCAGACTGATCAACTATTGAAAACATATTCTAAAACCCAAGAGGAAGAAACTTGAAAAGTAATCACCACAGAGAGAGAAATCTTAAGTTATGTTCCCCCTTCAGGAAAACACCTGTTGGAAGGGGTGAATGACAAAGTGGCAAGGGAGCATGCCCACCTGAAAGCGGGTTCTTTCGCTGGCATACTTCTGGTAGTGCAGCATGGCCTGCAGAACCTTCTTGTGGCCCCCGGGAACCAGGCACACGGCGCCCAAGATTTCCAGCACGGCCACCTTTGTTTTAATGTTCTCTGTGCTCAGACTCTGAGCAATCACATTAATACTCTCAGAGTGAGCCAGGACATGAGCCCGACCTTGAGAGTTGTTCATTAGCGCCTTTATACATCCAATGAGAGAGGTATGTATTCGAGACTCTGAGGTCTCGTAGTCCATGGTCTTTAGAAAGTTGAGAATACATGACAGGCCATCCAAGTCAATGAATCTGGTTACAAACCTGGCAGGAGAAGAACATTAAAATGTATCAGACTTAGGTCCCTTTGGAATTTTCTAATAGCCCTTGGAAAAGTTTTTTTTTTTTTTTTTAAAGATTTTATTTATTTATTTGAGAGAGAGAGAGAGAAACAGGTTCCATGCAGGGAGCCCGACGTGGGACTCGATCCCTGGACTCCAGGATCACACCCTGGGCTGAAGACGGCTAAACTGCTGAGCCACCCGGGCTGCCCGGAAAAGTTTTGCAATGGCAGGAGAAAGGAAGAGGTATGTAGTTCTTGTAGTACCAAAGAGCTACATTGATGAAGTCTTCTTAATTCCTGACCTCTTCCTCAGCACAAACCCAATGGTCAGGTCTACCAGAAATGTGAAATAATCTCTATTTGAAATAAACAGATCTCAACTGATACAAAGAACCAATGAACGATTATACAGACACAGTAAATCAGGAACCAGAACACACTCAGAATATGTGTCTTAAGTTAAAGTCATTTGCTGATCCAGGAGCACCTGGGTGGCTCAGTCAGTTAAGCATCTGCCTTCAGTTCAGGTCATCATCTCTGGGTCCTGGTATCCAACTCTATATCAGGCTCTCTGCTCAGTGGGGAGTCTGCTTCTCCTTCTCCCTCTGCCTCTCCCAAAGACTTCCCTCCTGCTCATGCTCTCTCTCAAAAAATAAATAAAATCTTTAAATTAAAAAAAAAAAAGGTTATCTACTGATCCTGTGTCATTTTAACACCAGCCTCTAATCACCTTTACGTTAACTGTTGACCCATATCAATGCAAGTCAAAGAGCATCCTTAAGCTCCAGGATATTTGTCTGTCAAACAAAAGATAATCTATATTGCTAACATTTTGTAGCAAAACTCTTCTTTTGTATGATATGCTACTGGAATCCCTATATATAAAACAAATAAAGGGTGCCTGGCTGCATTAGTCCATAGAGAACATGACTCTTGATTTTAAGCCTCATGATGGGCCTGAAGCGTACTTAAAAAACTAATAAACTAAAACAAAACAAAAGCAAGCCTTTGTTACTGCACGTTAATTGATATCTAGGACACTTTATTTACTGTGAAGCTGACCAATGAGAATAATTCACAATGCACATATATACGTGAAGCTCTGAAGATTTCAGAAGTAACAGAACTTGTTTATATGACTATTCCAGAAATTTCCAAACCTACTTAGTCTTAGATACCTATCAACATCTGAGAATGCAAAACAACACAAATAGGGAAATACTGATGTAGTTAGGATTGGCTACAAAACCTGTCATACAACTGCATAGAAATTTTGATAAATCAATAGATTTTCATTAGTTAGCATCTTATAGTCAAACAAAGAAAAGGAAATCTTTATTTTCCAGCCATTTCATGTAGTCACAGGACCCAGATATAGCCCCACTGGTGAAAACAGTTGGCTTCATTCATAACTCCTATGTTAATGAAATATACCTATAAGCACCCCAACATCCCACCAAACCTTAAAGACTAATCAATGGGAAATGAAGGTGTAGGAGGCACATGGTGGAGGCTGACTGCCCCCCCCCTTTTAAGTAACAGTTTTATTGAGATATAATTCACATGCCATGAAATTCATACTTTCAAATGTACATTTCAGTGATATCCACAGAGCTGGCCAACCACGGACAGCATCTGATCTCAGAACACTCTAAAACATCCCAAAAGACTATTTCCCTCCTCTCCCCAACCATAAGCAACCACTAATCTTTCTGTCTGTACAGAGTGGCCTTCTCTGGATATTTCATATAAATGGAATCATGCCATATGTTGTCTTTCTTTAAACATTAAAATCTGGCTTCTTTCACTTTGGGTAAGTATTTTTCAAGCTCTTCCATGTTGCACCATTTATCAACAGTCTATTCCTTTTTAGGGCTGAATAATAATTCATTGTATGGATATATCACATTCTGTTGATCCCTTCATCAGCTGACAGAATTTGGGTTGTTTCTACTTTTCAGCCATTATGGACACTGTTAACATGAACATTCCTGTTACCTTGGCTATATACCAATGAGTAGAATTGTCAGGTGATATGCCAACACTATGTTCAACATTCTAAGGAACTGTCCAACTGTTTCCTGAAGTGGTTGCACCACTTTACATTATTTCCAGCAATGTATGAGGGTTGCAATTTCTCTACATCAGCACCGAAACTTTCTAGTCTGTTTTTTTTTTTTTAATTTTAGCCATCTTAACAGCTGTGTGCATATCTTTTAATTGAAGAAAATCAATTTATTGAATGTTCAATGATTAAAGTATTCCATCCATGGTTCAATTGAATGCTTTTAATCTAAGACTTCCTATTGCAGAAAAAAAGAAGAAAGTAGGGTAAGAGAGAAGGGAGAAAGAAAGGACAGAAGAAGAAGAAAAAAAAGACAAGTAGTATGTTACCCAAGAAAGAATTACCTCATTGGTTTTGTCCTTAGCGCTGTCTTCAAACTCTCTATAGTTTTACTTCTCTCTTCTTCCTCTTCCTTCTCTAAAGCCAGGAGAGATTTTCTCTACACAAAGAAAACTGAAGTTATCTCTTCAAATTCTATGATTCAATTAGGGTATAAGCAAGACAAGTCCACAGATTACATGCTATTATTACTTTTAATATATAAAAAAACAATAAATCTATGACTAGGATTACTATAAAACCAAAATACAGAGCAAAAGTACTAAGAATTCCAGATTTGTAATCTCTACTAAAAGTTCTTTCAAATTTTAGATAAAGTTTTAGGAAATGTTTAGAAATATTCAGTATAGATTAACTTGTCCAACTATAGTTCTGGTGAAAATATTACTATCTATATTTGATAGAAAGAGGATTGGCTCTGCAGTTAAATACAGTATTCTGGCAACTAAAGCTAATAACATTAACAACACTACCAAATCCAGGCGGTTTGTGTCATCCTCAAGCCGAAAAGTAGAATCTTTTACACTTTTTGTTCCATCAATTACTTAAGAGGAACAATCAAATCAGACATGATATGAAGAAGGACAATTCCTTCAGAGTAAACACTTTTAGAAATGATTCAACATCATTTGGAAATTAGGCTACAGAGTGTGTGTGAGGGAGGGAGTGGGGTGCTTATATCCTCCCCACCCAGGGATCTGTTGAGCAGCACTTCCCAAACTTTAATATGGACACGAATAATCTGGGGATCTTGTTAAAATAAGAGTTCTGATTTGGTAGGTCCTGAGTAAAGCCCAAGATGCTGCATTTCTAGTTTCCATGCAGCCCTGATGCTGCAGGTCTATAGACCTCAATTTGAAGAACAAGGCTCTAAGGAAGTAGATCTCAGTTGACAGTACAGTCCCGGATGCTAGTAAAGTTTATATTTGTGAAAAGATCTTTCCCATTCCTTTGAGCCCAAGATCACCTAGTTGGATTAAAAGGATCCTTAAGTCTTAATGGCCTCAGGTGCCTCCACCCATGGAACCACTGGTCTCTTGCCTTCATCTTATTCTGAATGTGTGCTTTTCTAATTTCAGCCTTCTTACCTGTTAACAATTCTGATAAAAATGCATGGCTGGGAAACAGTCTAGGGCATTGAGGGGAAAAAAAAGTTTGGCTCTTATCTATGTGTCTCAGTGATCCAATCTCTCACTTCCTTTCAGGGCCACTAGTCATCAAAGGGTGATTTTATCTAATTTTTTCAAGTTAATAGTACCAGTATTAACTAACTAAATGTTAACTAAAACCTAAATTTGACTTCACAATTAGGAGGGTTAAAGCTCCAAAGAAATATATCAGTATCATTTAAGGCAACAGAAATAAAAATCAGTGAAGTCTCGTTTTTCAAATGTGTTACTGTTTCTGCTGACATTGTCCTCTTGGTGGTGATGAGCCTGGACAGCTGTGATGAGAGGACGGTAGGGGAAGAAGCTGTGTGCAGAAATAGCCAATAAATTTCTTCACTGCTCTGTGAGACCTATTGCCTGGAAAATTCAGCACGAATTCAGCCAAGTATGTTTAATCTCCTGTGGCACAGCTGAACTCGTTTAGACTCTGAAGCAATCACTTTGAATCTGCAGCTCAGAATCAAGATGATTACAAACATCATTGCCTATTTCTAAGCTTAATCACACAAAACTATACCCAAATTAAAGACACACATTTCTTATTATGGCTCACTAATACTGAAGATATAGATATTTATTCTTTTAACACTGTTGGAGGGGGGGGTGTAGTGCAGTGCCGTGGAACATCTGAATAAAGACAGACTATATTATGTCTCTCCCTAGTAGAACTGGGAGATTTATGAAAAGTCAAGAAAATTAATATTTCCTTCCTAGTGTGAGGACCATTACCTTCCTTTCAAAATAGAGGCAACACACTCTTTTCTGTATGTGATACACTTAGATTTGAATCTAAGATTGTGTTCCTTAAACTTAGAAAAATGAGGATAGGCAGACGAACATGATAATTCTAATGTGACTTTTCAAAATAAGTTATATGGAGTCTAAAGCTTTCAAGCTTCACATTTAGGAAGAACACCTGATTTGTAGCTTTTCGTAGAAAAAGGAGACATGCCTATCTTTCTAAAGATAGATGCTAGGCCAAATATGTAGTGTGTACCTTGGCATATACAGGACAGGTTTGTGGTGGCCTCCGTGGAGTCTCTAGGCACTTACTAAATCCCTGTTCACCTGAGAAGCGGACAAAGGATAAAGTGCCTCTGGTAGAGGATCTTCTGATAAAATCTACTAAGGTGTATGTACACTGGAACATGCAGGTCCAAGAGAGATGCACAAACTACACATAGAAATCATTCCTGTCTGGGAGTCTGGAGCTAAGCTTCTGTTTGAAACATTCCCTGGTGTGAAATCAGTAAGCCAGGTTGCTAAACACACTGCACTTTACCTCACATCTGTCCTCCCCGAGAGTGCACGCAGAAGCCACATACAAAGGAAGCCCGGGTCCTTCTTGAACCTGTTGGGCTGTACTTTTATTATACTGTTTTTCACTCTTTAAAAGCCAACAGATCACTCAGGGGTACTTTAAAGAACAAAGCATTCTTGTTAAGAAGCTGACGTAAAGGAACTGAACTTGTTCGGTGTTTCATAGACCAGTAAGTGCTGCAGTTCTCGACCCGGACTGTTCATCAGACCCTGGACACGTTAAAGAAAACAGATGCCTGCCCCACCTCAGACAAGTTGGGGGGGTGGGGGATTACCCGGCCTCTTTTACTCACCAAAGGGTTTTAAAAACTGAGTGAGAGGCAAATTAGAAAGGAATCTTTGAGCTCGGACTGATAGGTTTAAATTCCAGTTCTACTGTTCCTAATTAGATGACCTTGGGCAAGGTAACCTTCTTCCAAGTCCCAGACTCCTTATCTATAAATAGCACTTATAGCACAGGGGGCTTGTAAGGATTTAAAACAACATGAAAAGTGCCTGTTAGACTGCCTGTCACATGGTGCACACTCAAAAGCAGTAGTAGCTAGTGATGCTGAAGACAATAGATGATAACAATGTGGATAAATCCCCTTCAACAAATCCCTAAGCTAAAGAGCTCAAGTTGAGCTGCTGAGCCATGAAAGGATTTGGAGACACTGTATAAGTCTTTCCAGTCCCCAGGGACAATGTCTCAGGATCTCTGCTGTGTGTCATTGGGAATTCTCCAATACAGTTAGCAGAGAGATCAGCCTGACTCTAGGAGGAGAAGGTGGCAGCAACACATATGGTGAGAAAAGCAGAAAATTCAGCATAGGGTTTTTGGTCTCATCAGACTTCCTTGTTCTTTACATACGCAGGAGTTCTGAGGTCTCATTAACTCAGGATTTGTTACTGCTTTTTACCTTTAACCCTAGAAAGAGGCCAGCTCTGTCCTTAAAGGAACATTACAAAGCTTTGTTAGGTGTTAAACACATAAAAAATAGCAAAGTGACTGACAATTTAATTGCCTTGAGATACTCTCCGAAAGGATTTCGGACTTGGAAGCAAATATAATTAAAATGTAGATGACTCATGACTGCAGCACAGGGTTGTCCAAGGAGCTGGCCGAAGGAGAAAGGCTCTTAAAGAAATGCCTCCTACTGGCACATCATAGACCTTCTAGTGCAGGAAATGGCCAGGTTGACTCTATACAACGCATGGATTAAGTCACTAAAGGACAAATTAACCTAATTGCCCCCCTCAAATTTGAAGAAAAGAAAATGCCAGAGTATTTAGTACTTCTCCCTTTATAGAAGTGAATTCATTAACGAAGAAGCAACTTCCCTTGTTACATCAAACAATGCTGGCTTAATTAGAAAGAAAGCCAGCCTGCCCCACAGCTCTTTTATCCCCCTAATAGCGAGGAACAAGAATTTAGAAACTAACCTTCACAAGCAGGAAATGTAAATGGCTCTAAATTATTATTGCTTGAGTTATGCATAGAAGATCCCTGATGGTCATCACAAGCCCCACACTTTGCTAACATATTCATACAAATGCTGAGATCACCCTTTTCTCATCTTTGCCATTGTGTAGGATGCCTTGTACTAGGAGGCTTTGGATACTCTTTTCTGCTGTCCTTTTAGACTAGAAATCCTCAGGGCAAAAGCTTATGCAGTTTCTTCTATAATTTATACAGCTCCATTCACATTTACTAGGCTGTTTATTATTCATTGTGCAACAGCAGAAGAAGCATCTTCAAATAAAAGGCTAGAAAAGAGGAAGTTACTAAAAGTCAAGGTCTCTGAAAGTTTAGTAAAAGTGTGGTTCACATATTCTAATCAGTTAACTTTGCAGCAGCAGCAGCAAAATATTAGACATTTTTTTAAATGTTTGCCTTTTGTGTTAAGCAGCTAATTTGAAAAGACTCTGGGAAGGGAAGAAAAGGAAGAGGTAGAAAGAGGTAGAGAAAAGTATTTATTATGGAAGCTATCATCTTGCTTGGATATGATAAACTCAAAGTTGAATCTAACAGAGTGATCTTAAAATCATGAGGGTACCCACAGAGGCAGACTGTTCACCATAGGCAGTTGTCAATTTTTATTGACATGAACAGGATTTGAGTTACGAAGGCTCAAAGGTTGAGGATTTGTTTTCTGCTGTATATTTTAGCTGGGATCAATAGGTGTCCTTCAAGGTGCTCAAAGTGCTGACATTACACAGACATATATGTGATTAGAATGCATATTTTAGACACTGAGATGCATTTTAGGCAATTACTTAACCAAAGGTTTCCCAAGGACGTCTCAGAGTAATTATGCCCTTTATTCACCGCTTACTCCATAAATTCCTTTTGTTATTTATAGGAGTAAAAGAGTACCTGGCTGCCCTATAAAATCAAGAATCCAGGAACTAAGTCAGTTCTAGGTGAAAAAGAGCTGGAGGAGAACAGTGAAGGAACAGTTTCATTGTATTATTTTAAAATGGTATTAACTTGTAGAATAGTACTGCCATAACAATGCTCCAAATGACTGGTAAGAGCAATTGCAAGTTAAGTTGAACATAAGCCAGATTTAAGATTACATTTCCTCTTACAACATTAAACTCACTTATATTTTAGTGTGTGCTGATTTTATGTAAAACATACTGGAAAAAATCATTTTGCCAAGTACCACTCCTACCCTCCTTCCCTCCCTCCCCGCCCCCCAACACTGAGTGTTTGGAAGAGAGTTTGGAAGATAATGACATTTGATAGTTCTTACTCAAGTGAATTTATTGTGCAATTGTGTGCGAAATTTGCATTTTAAACTGTATGCCACTGAACAGAAAGTATACCTACCGCAGCCATGGAATTGAGCTGATCGATGTAGAATTCGGGCCAACTTGTTGCTCCCTTGTTTTCCTCCTGGTCCTAAATAAAAAGCAAAAAAGGTAATATACATCAGATATATACACACAATGACCACAAGCACATCTGACTTTCAGAGCATCTAGATGATGGCCTATATAAGCTTTTAGGAGACAAGGAGATAGAAGATGTTTGTCTTCATATGTTGGTTTTAATCATCAGACTGTCCTTTGGCCTAGGGACAAGACAGTACTACAGAGTTAGGTGTGACAAAAGGGACATTTTCTGAACCATGGATCAAAGGGAATTTATTATTTTATCACTTTTTTTAATTTATATTTTTCAAAAATTGAAGAACAATGGACATAAAATATTGTATTAGTTTCAGATGTACAACATGGTGATGAGACATTCATATGATATAAAATGGCAACCACAATAAATCTACTTACACCGTTCACCATAAAAGCTGTCACAGTAGGGGCGCCTAGGTAGCTCAGGTGGTTAAGTGTCTGACTCTTGATTTTAGCTCAGGTCATGAGATCAAGCCCCTGGGTGTGGAGCCTAAGATTCTCTCCTTCTCCCTTTCCCTCCACCCCTCCACCCCCACCTAGCTTACCCATTCTCTCTCTTTCCCTCTCTCAAAAAATATTTTTACAGTATTATTGATTATAAAGAGGAATTTTTTTTAAAGATTTATTTATTTATTCATGATAGACAGAGAGAGAGAGAGAGGCAGAGACACAGGCAGAGGAAGAAGCAGGCTCCATGCAGGGAGCCTGACGTGGGACTTGATCCCGGGACTCCAGGATCACACCCTGGGCCAGAGGCAGGCGCCAAACCACTGAGCCACCCAGGGATCCCCATAAAGAGGAATTTAAATGGGAATCTAGCCACAGCATAGTATGGTATTGTTTTCCTTCAGGGGCACAATAATATTGGAAAGGACACAATGTTTGTTGTGAGGACAAAGGATATCTAGGTCCTATGTCACAGTGAGGACAGTGTTGCTCAACTATATGTCTGGATAAAATCCACAAAGGAAGGAAAATTGTCTCAAAAAATGACTACAGGGTTTGGCCAGTTGTTAGACGTTTTTAGTTAGTTTATTCCGATTCCAGAAGACAATAAAAATTTTGAAGGGTTTCATTTGATGTAACTAAAACTAGATACTGCTTCAGATGAAAAGGTAGAATAAAAAGCTTGACCTTGGATGGAAAATAGTAGAATGAACACACATTACCCACAGGCCCAGCCGCCATGCTGTGACAGCTTGTGAGTCTGAGAAAATGTAAGGTGTCTGAGCTGACGAGAACTGAAACCCAAAGAATTCAGGAACCCTTTCCCAAATCACTCTAGCCAGTCTTTTGTCTTAGCAGAACAGGATGACTTGAAGCCAGCACCATGGCCCTCTGGGCTTCTGTGCATAGAAGCCCCCCACCTGAAGCCTCACTCACCCCAAAATCAGGGGGCTGTAGCTTCTGCTCCATGCAAACACGGAGTCCATCAGAAGGTGGCATGGTAGCTGGAGCTTTCCATACGTGTTTGCAAACTTATGTGGCTATAAGTCATTTGTGTGATGCAACAGACTGGAAGAGCACAATTTCAGTCTTCTAGCTTCACATTCAGAGAGCTCCTCAGTACAACTGATATCCCCTGTCCCCTTGGACTGGGCCAGGTACCGGTAGCTGCTAGGAGACAGTGAAGTAGTTACTACCTATTTACTATTGTCAGAATCCCAATCTTTGGGATAGTACTTTCAAGGTGGGGCTTTTAATTTCAGTCCTATACTTTACCTCAAAAACACTTTTTCTAAGCAAATCTTTCTAGACAGGTCTACTGTGGTGAGATAAAAGAAACGTAATTTCAAAACTATTCGTTAAGTAGTCACATAAAAGCAGGGAAAGTAACAAATGCTTCCGGTGCCTTAAAAGCCGGCAGTAACAGATACCTGAACTTGAGCAGTTGCACGAATTGCATCTGGAGACTGAAAGAGCCAGATGATGTGGACAAAAGGCTATAGCAGCAGCTTTGAAGCTGGACCGCATTACACTTGCATGGCTTTAAAAAGCTTAGGAAATCTGATGAGTTTTTAGAACAGTCCTTGATTATTATTTAACATGTCAATAAAATAGCTACAATTGCAGCATAAGTGCTGAACCCTTCTCTCCCCCTAAAATGGAGTATTAATGTTAGCAAAACCCCATGTTAGCAATGTATTCAGCAAGCCAAAGCCCACAGTGATAGTCAATGGTATTTGAACCTATAAAATGAAATAAAAGGTGCCAGATCATTCTAGTCCCTCAAACCAGGGCAAATTTCCAAAATTACAACAAAGTCCTGTCCTGTGTCTGGGGTCCCCTGAGAGACTATCTATTGTAAGCTTAATAGTCATGGTTAACAGAACAGGAGATCATTTTAGAAGCTGAAGATTAGTATATAGAGAAAAATCTTAACACTTTGGAAATGTTTTAGTAATATAAACATATTAAGAGTAGACCTAGATACTGTAGTCAAAATAGGGAAAAGAAGGCTTCATTTTTATTTCACATGCCTCAGTGCTGAGAAAATCAAATGAGCTAACATACGTAAAAGCTTCTCATAAAAGTACTGTTATCACTATATTCCTAGGGGTGATCCTCAGAGTTCTTCATTTTGGCAATGTGTCTCCAGTTTCCTCTGTGCAGTCTTGGTCCTTCTAAACAGATGTGTGCTCTAGTAGCCAAGTGAAACACATCTGTGAATCAACTCTCTGCTCCTACTTTGTGTGGCTGCTAGAGTCTGTAGTCATGTAAAGCCATAGGCCAGAAACAGATGAATGCAATTGTTCAGGGTGGGGATGGAGGGCTCCCCTAAAGAGCACTGAATACTGAGACATGCTGAGGGGAAGACTCTCTCCTAAGAAGTCCATGAAAGAAACTGCTGATGAAAGTCAAGATGTCTGATATTCCTGAAAAGCAAAGCCTCTAGTATGTGTTATTCTTTGAGCCATGTGCCTCTCTTCTTTTCTTTGTTTTATTTGTTATAGAGAAAAAGTGGGAAAAGTTAAACAAGATTGTATAATATTGCATTAGTTGTAATGGAAGAAACAGCAATATTCAACATATATATAGCTTACTTGTGTCAAACACTGTTCTAAGCACTGTGCTCTTTATGTAATCTACCCGATGAGGTAGCTGCTGTTATTTCACTCATTTTAGTGATGAGGAAACAGAGGGAAAGAGAAGACTGGTGAGTTGCCGAAGTTCATCCCGTTAGAAATTCAGAGGCAGTGGGAAAGAATCAAGGCAACCTCTTTCCTAAGATTAGAACTCAGATTAATCACAAGCAATTGGCACAGTGAGTGCAAAGCTGGCCTTTCACTCTTAATCACCTTACTGTATAAGAAACTCAAACATAGTTAGTGGCCAAAAATGAGTTTGCTTTTCCCTAAACCTTTATTGCTATTTTTGCTATATTCAACATTTCTGAATATTATTCTAATTCTGAATATTATTCTAAGATCTGATGTCTTACTTGGATTACCTCTGATCCTTCTTCTCTAGACTTTCTCTCTAGGAACTCTTCTGACCCTCTACCAATGCCTTATCTATCTATATGTGTGCATACAGATAGCATTTATGAAGTTTTTCCCTAACCTGTTCTCCTGTTCTGTTATATACCAGTCTAATAGCCATCTTCACATGTCTTTTTCAAGAGTGTTTGAAGACGAGCTGATAGCACCAAGTAGTTCTGGACATTGGAATTGCAAACAAATCTCTCCCTAAGCTATACACATCTAACTCTACTTTTGACTACTGCCTTGATCAATCCCATTAGAACTTTTTTCTAATAACCAAGACTATTGGCTTCATTCTATTCTTTTAAGAAGTTGTTTTTCCTTCTTTTAAAACAGATTGTGGGTTAAGTGTTACCCACTTTATGGGTATAACATCTAGAGAAAGTTTTGCCCTATGAGAATACAAATTCTAGCAATCACATTAAACCCCTTTCCATTCCACCTCCAGAATGGTCAATTCATATTAAAATCTAGTTTTGATTACTTTTAAAAGTATTATAAACATTTATGTTTATATGCCTATCTTTAGGTCTATTAAATAATTAGCACTGAATTGATATAAACATTTTATGTCATTAAATTTTCTGATGATTACTATTTTTAGATAATATTTGCAAACACCATTTATTTTCAGGTTGATAGGATGGTGGAAAGATGACCAGATTGGCCATCTGAAGATGAGATATCAGAATTTACTTTTTAGTTTACTCAATCGGCATTCCTTGGTAAGTCTGAGAATCTCTGGGCCTCATTTTTCTCTCAAATTGAGAGGCTAAAACCAGACTATTTTTTAAAGTCCCTAGAAGCTCTAAGATTCTATAGAACTCTAATGGTGAGTGAGGTGTCATGGAAAACCAGTATGTACTGCCTTTAGTTTAAGGGCCCAATTTCTAAAACTAATGTTGTTGTTTTTTTTTTAAATTTATGTTGTTCAGTGACTCAATTACAAAACACTTAACTTTCAACAGCTACTTCTTTTATAAGGTAATTGGAGAAGGAAAAAACCCAACATTAATTTTACTATTTCTCTAATCCACTCATCATATTTCCTTGGTAGGTTGATGGTCGTGAATAAGAGAATATTGGTGGACAAAACTTCCTGCTGGATGGAGGCTGTGACACCTCACTTTACTTTCAACTTGCACTAACTAGTTTTAAACTCTTTTTCTTGTTATCTACTTTGCTCCCATTATCTCAAATTCTGAAGAAACAAACAAAACAAAACAAAAAACCTTTTGCTAGACAAGGAATCTGGTATAGTACAACGGACCTTCAAGAACATTCACTTTAAAAAAAAAAATCAGCCTTTAATTAACTCATTTAGAAGATAAAGAAATAAAAAAAAAATAAAAAAAAAAGAAGATAAAGAAATACATAGTTTTTCTAACTTGGCCTCATTTTCAACTGGCACATTTTTCATTCCAAGTTTCAGGTCAGTAGCTAGTAAAAAAAATTCCAAGAGATCCTCCCTGATTTGCTTTAAATGCACAAGGGTGCATTTATT